GATTCTCCTTCATTTTTGAAGAAATGTATTCAACCATTGTCTTTCTATCTTTTTGAGTCAACTACTCACCACATTTTATGCACTGCTGTGCTAGCTAGCTATAGCTTATGCTTTCACTACTAGATTAATTCATTCTCTGATCCTTTGATTGGGTGGACAACATGTCAGTTCATGCTGCAAGAGCTCTGATAGGTTGGAGGATGTCCTCCAGAAGTTGTCATAATTACTGTGTAAGTCTATGGAAGGGGGTGTAAACCATGAGCCTCCTAGGTTTTGTATTGAAGTCAATGTACCCAGAGGAGGACAGAAACTAGCTGTCCTCCGGCTACACCATGGTGCTACCCTACAGAGTGCTGCTGAGGCTACTGTAGACCTTCAATTAAAAACAGTGTGTTTTAATCAATTATTTGGTGACATGAATATATTTTGTATAGTTTTATTTAAAAATATGTTTCACTATTTTTATTTGTATGTAATTCACTGAGGAGGATGGTCCTCCCCTTCCTCCTCTGAGGAGCCTCCACTGCTCAATCTGCAATCCACACCCCCATCTGTTCCAGTGCTTAACCAACTGCTCTGAGTATTCCTCTGAGACTGTCACTGTCCACAGAAATGACACAGTTTGGGCCCTATATGACACTCAGCCCTATACAGAAAGGGGAGCAGAAAGCCTGGAAAAAAAATTCCTGGTTAAAATCTCTGCTGTCATTCTATCAAATCCCTATAAAGCAAATTCCTGATCGGTGGAGATCTCATGGAAACCTTCTTTACAAATATCTACGTTCCAATGTCCATACCAGCAAGCCATGTAGAAAGCATTATACATTGCATCATTGCAAGTAGGATGCCAGTGTGGACATTGGAACAGAAACCATGTTATATGTTTGTACAGTAGGCCTTTACTTGATAATACTGATATGTCACAGAAAACAGTTAATTTCTTTAACGACACCACAAACATACTCTGTTGTTCTTGTCTGTTTCTCTCACTTCCTCCTTTGTCACCCCTTGCCTTATCATAATCTTCACTATGATGGAATTGTTATTGGAGCAGGCCTTGAAGAAGGACAGAGGTTTGGGGGTGTCTGGGCTGGGAGACCTGTATTTAAGAGAGTCATCGGGTGGATAGAAGGAGTTAGGCAATACTCCTGATATCCTTTGGCAGATCTGGCAATGTGTCAAAGTCAAACTCTTCAAATTCCTGATAGACGTCATCGTCGTCGTAATAGTTGCTTTCCTCATTGTCTCCCTCATTAGGATCCTCATTTTTATCGCCTGCGACCGTCTCCGACAAAATAGACCACCCCTCATCTCTGGGACCCCTGACAGCCCTGGCCTGGCCTCCAGAGATCCCATTCTGCTGAACATTTAACAAGGTCCCTCCACCTGGGTCCTCTGTGATCAGCATCATTTAACCTCCTGTTTGAATCCACCACAACAAGAAGAACAAGGCACCAAAATCCCAATCTCATCTGACCAATTCCCCCTCATTAAAAATGTAAATTCTTAGCTAGGTTTTGAAGAAGAAGCAATGTCAGTACAATCCCCAACCAGAACATAATCAAACATTTGTTCTGGTTCCAAAGCCACTTGAGAAGGATGCCTCAGAATGTCCCTTTTAATCCATCAATAAACCTTGTTCCCTGAAGCATTAGACGGACATCAAATACCTTGTTTACATTCATGTGACATCCCCAAAGGATCCTCTTGTTTTCATCAGCTCCTCATTTACCTTCTGTTTTTCTCACTTTCCAAATGGCAACCGGCAACAACAATGTGACAGCTTGAGAATTCATTTCTTGAATACATTTGTTGCCAAAGTTGTCCCACTAAACGCTGTTCACCAAAAGGCACTGTATTCTTTTAGACAGTCTCTAGTTCCTGCTGTGCTGATACCTTACTCTTCTATGCACCTGCAGTAAAACATTTTGTTTCCTTTGACTGATGTGGAAGATAATAATTTTCTAAACTGACGCTTCATAATCCCTTTAGTCAGTCGCTCCTGTCTCTCTCGCTCTCTCCCCTCCTCTCTCTCTCTCCCCTCCTCTGTCTCTCTCTCTCTCTCCCCTCCTCTCTCTCCCCGTCTCTCTCTCACTCTCTCTCTCCCTGTCTCTCTCCCCCCCCCCCCCCTTCTCTTATACTTTCTACTTAGTGGGAACTTTTGTATATCGTACTCTCTCAGACATATTTTTCATTGCATGCCTGTGTGTGATAAACTGTTTTTGCACCATACCCATACCCTAAAACTATAGTTCATCCATTGACGTGGGGATTCCCCATCAGTCACTTCATGTCATTACCACCTTACCTCCGGCCCCGACTTGTTGTGCAGCATTTGCATATGACCCTAATCTATGGTTGGCTGCGGCTGCTGTTAGCTCTGTCTTAGCTGACTGTTAATTGGATACAGCAGAAATAACATTGCCTCTTACATATGTTTATTCTGAAAGTAAAGTTTGGGTCGGCACGATAGTGTGAAAGGGGTGTTAGAATTAGAATCTAGTAACCCATTTCAATAAACATTAAATATGCAGCCAACACAGCATTTCCAACCTCAACATATATCCATACTTGAGCTCCAAACACCTGTTGATGGAAATGTCATCCTATTCGCTTTATATAGCACTACTAGTATAACGTGGCAGATATTTCTGTCCAGATCTGGGATGGTAATCAAACATTTTCTAGGGATGAGGACAACACATTTTGACCTGCAAGTTATTTACAGTTTGACCATCAGGATTAGGGGCCGAGGAAAAGTATTAGCCAACCAGGATATCTCTCCAGGAAAAACAGTTATTTTGAGTTCCATTGATTTGGCATTATTCAGCATTATTGTAGATGTAAAGCTACTATCAGGTGTGATTATGTTATAGGCTATGAGATGACAGCATCATGACATGGCCTGTACTGAACCCAGTGCTGCTATCATAATGGGCCAGATTCTGACTTAGTAGTTGGTATTCAGACTTACTTTATGCAGGTGTGTAACAGGCTTTGCAGGCATGGTTCCCTTGCACGCGCAGAATATGTTTATTTAAACCGCTGAAAACCCTCCCACTTGCTGGCCAACAGATTTTCTCAACAGAATTTCTCATGGAGTTTTCATTCAATACGGTTTTCAGTACATTTATCTTAAAGCATCCCTTTAAATACGGTGTACCTTTAATTCTAATTTTGTCGACAGAATACATGGAGAGAACAGGTTCAGAACATAGGGATCAATTAAATAAAGCCATCTAAATATATGCATTTTCAGCTCCATTTTAGCACCAACTGGTAGATTTAAATACTCTTGATTATTTAGGCACATTTAAGGTTTATGAAAGTATGTATGGTTTGGAGAGCCTTTATTCACAAAATATATTGATATAGTGTTTTGATTCATCCTGAAAGTTGTCATATTTAAGTTCATCCATGAAATATTGGAAGGTGGAAAAAAGTGTAAAATAAGGGTTGAACAATGGTCCTATAAATCTACCCTAATCCTCACTAATCATGGAACTGCATGACAACGGTCCAGTCGTCGTGAACCGTGCGCCAGGCTCCTGGTTTAACCTGCTATGTTTGGTCTGAGTTCCATAATGATTCAAATAGGCTACATGTCCCAAATTACTGCACAATGTTAGCATAATATGATCCACTAATGCTAGCAACCCTCAGGAACAACTACATAGACGTGACAGAGGAAAGAAAGGTAAACAGAATGGAATGATGCAAAATGTAAGCTACAAATTGAAGAAAACTAACACTAAAGTGACAGTTATAAATGTATGTGGATATTACTGACGGTGGCTCCCAATAGTGGCTAATATTTAACATGATACAAATTGTAAAATAACACAGAGAAAAGCCTGGGTATATAATTCAAACATTCTAAAGCGTATACATCAATTTGGCAGGTTCAGCCCTACAGAAGACTATAGCTCGGGTCTCCAAATTTCATCCATGCAAATTATGGGAGCATACAATAAATATTCTGAATAACGGCACAGCTATTATAGCCTACCTCACTGTGGAAAAGGGTCCGCAATACGTCGTGTTGATCTGATTTTCAGTTTGTTTCCATATGACTGGTTTGACATTCGTCTCCAGGGATCATAAGGAAAAATAATCTAAAACAATTGCTATGTGTATTTACATATGGATTACTCATTTACCTAGCTCTTATCAATAGCTCTTTTCAATAAAAAAAAAGTACAGTGCACGGAGGATGCTTTTATTTATATCGGAAAAAAGTAGATGCTTTTCCCACTTGGAACCAGCAGGTTCGCTTGCGCGTAAAAGTGTAGGAATTAGGAGGGAATTAAGTCAAGGTCAGAATACAGTGTATCTGTAGACACACCTCCACCTTTCTTAGAGCTCCACCATGAACGAATAGCGGGTGAATAGCATGCTACTCTCACACTTAAGTTCAAGGTCAGAATACACACAGAGAACAGTGCAGAAAAAGGGAATTACGTTCCATTTACGCTTAACTCGGGTCGGAATCAGCCCCATACAGAATAGGGAGAATTGTTGAGAGGAGGTGGTTTGAAATGGAGCAGCACCTCATTGGAAGGTCAAATTTCCACATCATCAAAATCCAGAGAAAGTGATTGACTGGAGTAGGCCTACATTAAGAACTCAAATGTGAAGAAAGGAGTAACACATACACAAGTGATTTAGCAGTATTTTTTAAAAATAAAACTATTGAACAACATTTTTTACTCCTCCCATGTAGGGATGTTGTTATATCGCCAATGTCTCCCCAGCAAACACACACGCTATAGGGAGAGGTGACTGAGCAAGGCTTATTATCATGATACAACACAAGAGGAAGTATTTTATGCTATTCACATCCATGGTGTTTTTCTACTCAATTCCTGGACAGTCACTGGTTTTCTTCTGAGTCCAATTTGACTGAAATTACAGAATATGACAAACAGTTTAAGGTGTTATTCTGTGAGGAAAGTAGACATTTATTAAGATGACCAATACACACTTGACCACTCAGGAAAACTTAGAAAAACAACACGGAGCAGACAAAAAAGCAACAAGATTTACACAATTAGAAACTGCCTCTAAATGCACTTATAAAAATAGAACATTTGCTTAAAAATGAGTCAGCATAAACTCAACAGGTAAACACCAGTATCCAGTTTTGTATATTAAGTTACTAGAAGGTCACTTATAGAATCTTAGCATTTAATACCCTCTCTGAAAGTTGGAAATCAAGTCTTAAACCTGCAACTGACAGACAATTTTACACACTGAAAAGAAAGAAATCCTTTATTTACAAACATCATATCAATCTCCTTAACACACAGCCCCAAAAAAGTGTCAAACTAGATCAAAAACTCCTGTCAAGAAAATCATATTGAATTGTATTTTAGTGTCTTCACCACCAACTTGAAATACTGACTTGATTTAACTTAAATGGTTTATGAATGATTGCCACTATGTTAAAGCTTTTTAAAGTGCAACAGACTGATATTCGTGCATAAGTAAGAACCTATGTTACTCTATAGAACAGGTGTAGCAAGAAATGTAGAGTAGAAATTAGGTTACAATCTCGTAACTTCCTAATACCAAACTCAGCAGATACTCTGCCTTTTAGGGTTCTCTCAAATGAGACCAAACATTGGAGCTACATCATATAAATATCTGTCTAAGTGGGTTAATTAATAACCCCAGCCTGAGACAGGAGACCATCAAGCCAGTATATTGCTATTCAGGGAAGCCTGCCACACTCATTAGCTCCTTTGTGGCCAGTCAGTGAACCGAAATCTATACATCTGAATTAAAAAGTCCCTCGCTTTAAGCCCTGCTGCAGAAAGACTAAAATCACCCATTCCAAAAGGAACTTTTCTTTCTTGCAAATAACAACAACCTCTCACCCACACACTGTAATACTAAACCCCTAAAAAGGGAAATCGAAACTAATAAATACAAACTACAAAAACTGATCCCAAAGTTCTTCAGCCTTGTCTCACACTCCTCACTCCTCTAAAGCAGAGCTTCAGTCATGTGTTCCAATGGGATTATCCCATAGAGCAGAGCTGAACAGAGGCTTCCTGGGACTCTGCCTCTTCCTAGTCAAACAGGTCAGGTACTGTAGCAGTCCATCCAGACCCAACAACAGAAACTCACAGAATGAAGTCTAGATAAATCTAGATTGAATCAATGAATTGACAAAATACTATTTTTTTCTCTCAAGATGTACAAAGATCAAACAATTTTTTCAAATCCAAGTTGGTTGGTTTCAGGGTCATTCTGCCTTTGTTTAATATTTTTGTAAAACACACTTCTCAGTTCTCCGGCTGCGCTTGTGAGCAGGGAATGAAAAGAAGACATGGCTAGTGCTTGTGTCATGAATGTGAAGCCACGGGTGAAGAGATGTCAGAAGGGAGGAGAGAGACTCACAGCTAGAGGCTGTTTTCTCAGGTCAGGTGATAACAGCTCCTACTCCTGGGAAGAGCTGCTGTGTGTGGCTGTGGTGCTTCTGCCTGCCACCTTGCGTTCATAGTTCACCAGTCTCTGTCCAACTAGGTACCTGAGAGAGATAAAAAAATAACTGTTTCAGAGAGAAATACCACGCCATGAAATGAGTGAGGCTACAGAGTGTAAATAGCACAACAGTATGCCAACAAGTAAATCCTCAGAGGCTTGGAGAAGTCATTTTATGATTTGTACTGGAAACTATGGTGCTCCACTGTCATAATGGAGACTTTGTGATGACTGATCACACTAATAGTCAGTATTGCCAATAAGTCTAAGTAATAACTGTAGTTGTGCTGAGCTTAATGTCAGAGTACTCACTTGTCATTCTTAATGTGCTCATAAAGGCGCTTAAATTGACGGATTTGGAAGGACAGGATTCCCAGCAGCATGACGACCATGAGCAGGAAGGGGTAGATTCTCCTCTGCACCAAATTCTGCATCTCCATTGTAACTCCTGCAGAAAGAGCAATCAGAGGTTCAATGATAAATTTGCTCCTGTTCCCTCACCAATAATATAGATCTCTCTCACACAACAGAAACCAATAATTCCACTTTCATTAACTGATAATTGCCTTACCTGGGGAATACTGAGCTACGATGGGGACGATGCCAGCAGAGATGAAATAGGGCACACAGAGAGACACCAGCAGTACACAGATAACCGGAGCAGCCAGCTTACGGATGATAAAATGGAGATCAATATTGCGAATTCCGTTAGCGTACACCTAGAAGAGAGAACAACACGAGGAAGTCAAAATTATTCCAAAACGTATTCAACATTAATCTGAGCTATATTATTAATGGCATCATACTACAGGTCTTCAGAGTAATTAATGTAATAATTATAGTAAAACACAGTCTTGTGGGACCGACCTGTTCGATCACTGTTTTCAGCCACCACTGTGGACCCATCAGAGTAATGGCAGCAATGATTTTGGCATGGAGCACTCCGAGAGCCCAGTCCTGAAACAAAGAGTCCCAACATGAGCAGGTTTGTCTAAAACAGCAGTGTTGGCTGTAGTTGCCTCTTGTTCTGTTATCCAATTGAGGGAAGCTAAAGACTTCATCATAAAAGTTTTAGGTGCAGTGTAAAATTTGCTGACTGACCATTCACATCGCTCCGGCCAAACTAGCGTTTCTTCTCCACGATGTGGCTGGATTTGCTTGCCTCCCTGACGTTTTGTAAATCGCAAAACACATTCTTACCGTTCTGATTGGTCACAGAAACCGGTGGGTTGGGCCAGAGCCAGCCTACATGATGACCGTATCAACTCTGATTGGTTAGAGACGGTCCAATCGTTGATTAATTTGTTTTGTACAACGCCCCTCATTTTGACGGGAGGCAGTTTCAGACTAAATGTATGGAGTGATCATAGAGCAGCGGAATTAAATTCAGAATGAGTAGTTATGCAAGCGTAAAATCTTTTAGATGCCCATTTCCATCCAATGTACTGTATGGCCATAAAGCTATATGGCCATTGGTGTTAGATGGGTGGCCCTTACAGTACCTGCCAGGGGTAGAAGAGTGGTGTCTGGTCCAATGGCACCCTGAGAGGGGCTACTATGACCAGCTCAAAAAGCAGGCCCAGCAGGAGAGGGATGGCTCCAACCAGCAGCACAGCCACGACCACCGTCTTCAGGATCTACAGTACAAACGTATACAAAACAGAGGGCTAGAAACACAGGCCTCTCAACACACACAACACAGATACAGTAGGTATCATTCCACTGAGCGGCCTTCAGTTTGCATTCTGAGTCAGCCTATATAGAGGACATGAATGACCTAGAACCATGCGTTCACACAGAGATGAGCCACCGCAAACTATCAAAGCACAGCATAATAAAAAAGCATGACCACAAAACATACAGTATTGAAACCACTTGTGTCTATATTCCCATATATTTTGTTGTATAAAATCACATGCTTATTTTAATTCAGTTGCTGTTTGCATTACAAGAAGACGAAGACGAAGACGAAGACGAAGACGAAGACGAAGACGAAGACGAAGACGAAGACGAAGAAGAAGAAGAAGAAGAAGAAGAAGAAGAAGAAGAAGAAGAAGAAGAAGAAGAAGAAGAAGAAGAAGAAGAAGAAGAAGAAGAAGAAGAAGAAGAAGAAGAAGAAGAAGAAGAAATTCACTCATGTCAGGTGTGTGTTGGCGGTGGCTGTTGATTGTCATTACCGTGTTGCAGAGCATTACCATGAGGGTCCACTCCTGGACCTTCAGCAGAATGACCCTCCTGCCCTGGGGCATCCAGGCCAGCAGCACAGTGATGGCCCTGATGGACAGCCAGCACACGTATAGGCCGCACGCTGCCGTGTACAGCTCATGGATCTTCGCGCTGCCCGTCCAGAAGGACATCAGGTACCGGCCGGCGAATACTGTAGCAGGGGGCGGAGAGAGGGAGTGAGACAGGGACAGTAGGTAAATGGGGAAGACGGTGGAGTGGGACAGTGCAATTCCATCGAGTGGGTTGTGTGGACTACACAGTGAATTCACCTGGCAACGTGAGGCACACCAGACTGGCCACCAGCAGTGTCACACACATGAATACGATCAGCAGCACAATCTAGAAAAACAAGAATGAACACACATGAATAGACCACATTCCATTTAATTCCCATGCTCTGAGACAAAGAAGGCTAAGAGAAAACAAGTGTCAGGTCTAATGAATAGCTAGGCAGGCTACCTCCTACCAGGTGAATCATATTATCATTATATTATATTATATTATTATATGTGAGTTATAGTCATGACTCACCCTCAAGCTGAACTTAATGGGTTGGTGGTAGGGCTGGACGCCCACAGGACCTCCCTGCTGTAGGATAGCCTGGTGGGCAGCGTGCAGCCCCTCAGGGATGGCGTTGTTATTCCTCCCCTGCGGGTTGTTGTTGGCCTGCTGGTCCGCATCATCGTCATTCTCCTCCTGGTCACCCAACAGGTACGAGTGGAGGTCTCTGTGGCACAGACAGCACCGTTAACATAGGGTTCAAAGTCTTGTAATTGGCTGAGGTGAGGCTGAGGATATGTATCAGTCTATAATAGCTCAATTCTGGGGTTTTACCTTTTATAGGAGAACAATAAGCCTACATGAACTACACTATATATACGAAAGTACGTGGACACCCCTTCAAATTAGTGGATTCTGCCATTTCAGCCACATCTGTTGCTGACAGGTGTATAAAATCGAGCACACAGCCATGCAATCACCATAGACAAACATTGGCAGTAGAATGGCCTTACTGAAGAGCTCAGTGACTTTCAACGCGGCACTGTCATAGGATGCCACCTTTCCAACAAGTCAGTTCATCACATTTCTGCCCGGCTAGAGCTGCCCGGTCAACTGTAAGTGCTGTTATTGTGAAGTGGAAATGTCTAGGAGCAACAACGGCTCAACTGTGAAGTGGTAGGCCACACAAGTTTACAGAACGGGACCGCCGAGTGCTGAAGCGCATAACAATCGTCTGTCCTCGGTTGCAACACTCACTACCGAGTTCCAAACTGCCTCTGGAAGCAACGTCAGCACAAGTGGAGTGGTGTAAAGCTTGTCACCATTGGACGCTGGAGCATTGGAAACGCATTCTCTGGAGTGATGAATCGCGCTTCACCATCTGGCAGTCCAACGGACAAATATGGGTATGGTGGATGCCAGGAGATCGCTACCTGCCCCAATGCATAGTGCCAACTGTAAAGTTTGGTGGTGGAGGAGGAATAATGGTCTGGGGATGTTTTTAATGGTTCGGGCTAGGCCCCTTAGTTCCAGTGAAGGGAAATCTTAACGCTACAGCTTACAATGACATTCTAGACAATTCTGTGCTTCCAACTTTGTGGCAATAGTTTGGGGAAGGCCCTTTCCTGTTTCAGCATGACAATGCCCCGTGCACAAAGCGAGGTCCATACAGAAATGGTTTGTCGAGATCGGTGTGGAAGAACTTGACTGGCCTGCACAGAGCCCTGACCTCAACCCCATCGAAAACCTTTGGGATGAATTGGAACGCCGACTGTAAGCCAGGCCTAAATCGCCCAATATCAGTGCCCGACCTCACTAATGCTTGTGGCTGAATGGAAGCAAGTCCCTGCAGCAATGTTCCAACATCTAGTGGAAAGCCTTCCAAGAAGAGTGGAGGCTGTTATAGCAGCAAAGGGGGGACCAACTCCATTTTAATGCCCATGATTTTTGAATGAGATGTTTGATAGGCACAAGTACAGTGGCTTGTGAAAGTATTCACCCCCCTTGGCATTTTTCCTATTTTGTTGCCTTACAACATGGAATTAAAATGGATTTTTGCAGGGTTTGTATCATTTGATTTACACAACATGCCTACCACTTTGAAGATGCAAAATATTTTTTATTGTGAAACAAAAAAGAAATAAGACAAAAAAACAGAAAACTTGAGCGTGCATAACTATTCATTTGTAAGTCGCTCTGGATAAGAGCGTCTGCTAAATGACGTAAATGTAAATGTATTCACCCCCCAAAGTCAATACTTTGTAGAGCCACCCTTTGCAGCAATTACAGCTACAAGTCTCTTGGGGTATGTCTCTATAAGCTTGGCACATCTAGATTTTTGCCCATTCTTCAAGGCAAAACTGCTCCAGCTCCTTCAAGTTGGATGGGTTCCGTTGGTGTACAGCAATCTTTAAGTCATACCACAGATTCTCAATTGGATTGAGGTCTGGGCATTGACTAGGCCATTCCAAGACATTTAAATGTGTCCCTTAAACCACTCAAGTGCTGCTTTAGCAGTATGCTTAGGGTCATTGTCCTGCTGGAAGGTGAACCTCCGTCCCAGTCTCAAATCATTCCTTAAATTCTGATCAGTTTCCCAGTCCCTGCCGATGAAAAACATCCCCACAGCATGATGCTGCCACCACCATGCTTCACTGTGGGGATGGTGTTCTCTGGGTAATGAGAGGTGTTGGGTTTGCGCCAGACATAGCGTTTTCCTTGATGGCCAAAAAGCTCAATTTTAATCTCATCTGTACCTTCTTCCATATGTTTGGGGAGTCTCCCACATGCCTTTTGGCGAACACCAAACGGGTTTGCTTATTTTTTTCTGGCCACTCTTCCGTAAAGCCCAGCTCTGTGGAGTGTACGAATTAAAGTGGTCCTATGGACAGATACTCCAATCTCCACTGTGGAGCTTTGCAGCTCCTTCAGGGTTATCTTTTGTCTCTTTGTTGCCTCTCTGATTAATGCCCTCCTTGCCGGGTCCATGAGTTTTGGTGGGCGGCCCTCTCTTGGCAGGTTTGTTGTGGTGCCATATTCTTTCAAATTTCTAATAATGGATTTAATGGTGCTCCGTGGGATGTTCAAAGTTTCTGATATTTTTTCAGAACCAAACCCTGATCTGTACTTCTCCACAACTTTGTCCCTGACATGTTTGGAGAGCTCCTTGGTCTTCATGGTGCCGCTTGCTTGGTGGTGCCCCTTGCTTAGTGGTGTTGCAGACTCTGGGGCCTTTCAGAACAGGTGTATATATACTGAGATCATGTGACAGATCATGTGACACTTAGATTGCACACAGGTGGACTTTAACTAATTATGTGACTTCTGAAGGTAATTGGTTGCACCAGATCTTATTTAGGGGCTTCATAGCAAAGGGGGTGAATACATATGCACGCACCACTTTTCCGTTATTTAATTATTTATTTTTTTGAAACAAGTTATTTTTTTCATTCCACTTCACCAATTTGGACTATTTTGTGTATGTCCATTACATGAAATGCAAATAACAACAAAATAGGAAAAACGCCAAGGGGGATGAATAATTTTGCAAGGCACTGTATGTGTCCACATACTTTTGGTCCTGTAGTGTATATCCTAGTAGAATAGTGGTTTCCAATGTAAATGATAAAGCCCACGCACACTCAGTCTAACAGAGAGTTGGTATGTTGTTGTTAGCGTGTGACACTCACAGCAGATATCCAGCGGTGACGGTCCAGGCTCTGACCAGGCCTTTGAGCCACTGGCGTGTGTGACCCTGTTCCAGCAGCGCAGGCAGAACCACCTGAAGCAGCAGCAGCTCCAGAGACAGCTCACTGACTGGAGCATCACTGGGAGATGGAGACAGACAACACCCAGTCAACACAGAGACATTATCATCCCTCATAACGGAGTACATTACAGAGGCATTTGTTAGTTACTGAAGAGGCATTTATTCATTACTAAACAGGCATTGGTTATTGATGTTGTAGTGTGGCATGCATTAATGCGGCCAATGGTTCATCTTCCGGTAATTGCAATGGGGTCGACTTCGGCATTACTAGGAGCCAATGACTTAAGTCAAGTCATTCCATTGTCATTCCAGGCCACCAGACTTACCTGTACAGCATGACATTGTAGGGGAGGAAGGCTGGGAGGATGAGTTTGATCGTCCTTATGGGAAGCCACAACATTAGTAAAACTATGGAGCCAAACACCACCTGTGGAGAAAGACAGGAGAAACCCAGTGTTACTGGCACTGTATGTCCTGTCCAGGCACCCATAGCTATGGCATTGTACATTAGATAGGAATAAGTGGGTTGCAACTCACCACTGATAAAATGAATCTTCGGAGATGTCTGTATATTGGCAGGTGAATCATTTCTTGGACAGGATTAAAATCAGGATCGTTCAGGTTTCTGAGAAACCATAAAACACCCGGTCTCAGCACCTAGAGCGACAATTAGAAACAGATCAGCCATGGTGGGATACATAATAACTCAACAGCAGAAATCTCTTGACATAGGTTTCTGGCACCTCAAATGACAGCTATGAAGGTATGAGACAGAATACTATCTCACCTCTCGCAGTAAGAGGATAAAAGAGGCAAAGTAGAAGACGTAGACCATCCCTACAAGCCAGTGAAGGAACATGGTGGTGCCGGGAGCAGACTCAAAACTCAGCTCTCTGTCCTTCAGAGAGGCATCAAACATCTCCTACAACAACACAGAACAACATTTGGCTTTTCAATACAGGAAAAGGGATGTATCAATTATTATTTTGAAAGGACGAATCATTGAAGCAGAAGAACATGTTTGGCTTACCAGTGAGCAGATGTCGAGCCACCAGCCACAGATGACAGGGAACACACCGATCTCCACGACTACCAGCAGGGATACCTGGTTAATCATAATATCAATATGTATTATAACTGGTGTTTATTTCAATGGCAATAGAAGGCAAATTAATAGTTTATACTGTAATCCAGATTACTGTGTAACAGTTCAGAACATACTGTACGGAAGATAAACACAATATTCTATATGTATACACTTCTGAGTCCATAAAACACAAACTAGTCATATACCAGTCAGACTATGCAATCCCAATCAAGGACAAAATCATTATCATAATTTTCAATACCTTGACAACAATGTAGCACACTCCTAAAAGGCGTCTGGATCTTTGGAATCTCACCAATGCTGCCAATCCCTGGGATTTTCATTAAGGAAAAAACACATACAATACAACACAGGTACTACATCATGTCTATAACAGACTAAAACTAGACTATAACACACTTTTGTAACAGAAAGCAGAGGATACATGGCACAGTATTAATGTCATGGCCAGGAAGATGTAGCCCACGATGGTGGTGATGAGGCCTTCAAAGTGGGAGGCCTGCACCTGCAACAGGAAATTACATGATTAAAATAAATATTCTTTCTGACACTGCAAAGCAGTTCAACTGTGTATGGAGCGAGTCATTCAGATTCCAAAACAAACTTCACAAAATCTATTCATACAGATTACACACGAGAGAAAGGCCTTCAATTCAATTGAATTGACATTAAGCTGGTACTTACATTATTCTCAAAGCCAAGTCCCACAACTGAGAAATGACCAATATGATACGGGCAAAAAGCTGAAAAGAAATGCAAGTCATTGTTGGAATATTCATTTTTATATCGTTTTTTTATTTTTTTTATTTATCAATGGCACATTCTCTTAACATAACTTTAATGACACGTACCGAACACCAAAATGAAGAGTGTGTTTAGTGAGACCACCCAGAAGACATGCTCCTGATGAAGAAAGAGGGAACACATATTTACAACAACCTGAAGATTTTCTCAAAAGGGAACGCCATTTCATCAAACATGGGGAATGAGCTACTTACCAGGAAAACCAAGGAGCCATCAAGACCGAGCATCTGTGAATAAATAAAGAATGGAATGTTCAATTTCACTTTACATTTCTTAGACACAACAATGACCAATAGGTATATAACACAAATAGGCCTGAGGGAATTCTAATTCAAAACTCACCCTCTCCCATGTTAGCTCCTCGGCTGCCCGGTCCCATTCCAGGGCATTCCAATTCATGTCATCTACAAAAAGACAAAAGCAGCACCTCACTTACTGTCACTAACACCTCACACTAAAACTTTGTCAAACAAACAGTCCAGATATCGCCTATAGATTCATGTCTATGAACAATGAAAAAATAGACATTATGATACGAAATTGTAAAATACAAAACCATCATCCTAAATTAGCCTTTGAAATAAGGTTAACATCTTGAACCTTTATGGCCTGAGTGCCAGTCTATTTGTGCCATCATAGCAAATCCTTGTCACTGACAATGAGCAATGGTGCAAACAGATCTGGGACCAGGCTAGAACCTTTCCATTCGAAGGTTCATACCTTGTGCTCCATTGTTGGCGTCCCCTACATCCTCAGCCCCAGCCTCGTCCTCCAGCTCCATGTCCTCTGCCAGGTCCACCTGGATGTCAAGGACCTCAGCCGCTGGACCGTTGTCAGCCGGGGGCTCAGCGGCAGCAGGAGCAGGCTGGTTCTCACCCACCCCCTGCCCAGGACCTGGGCCCTGCTGTTGGGGAAAATACATGGGACATGAAGGTGGGTGCGGTAGCTCCAGAACATTAGAAGAGGCTTTCTCTGGTTAAGGAAGAGTGTATTGAGTGCTCTTTAACACTCAACTTAGAAGTGACAAGTTGCACTGAAGGAATGCTATAGTTAGCACATACAGTGCCTTCGGAAAGTATTCAGACCCCTTGACTTTTTCCACATTGTTACTTTACAGCCTTATTCTAAAATTGATTAAATTGGTTTTTTCCCCTCAATATACACACAATAGCCAATAATGACAAAGCAAAAACCTTTTTTTATAAATTTTTGCTAATTTATAATTTTAAAAAACACTGAAATATCACATTTACGTAAGTATTCAGACCCTTTACTCAGTACTTTATTGAAGCACCTTTGGCAGCGATTACAGCATCAAGTCTTCTTGGGTATAACACTACAAGCTGTATTTGGGGAGTTTATGCCATTCTTCTCTCTCTCAAGCTCGGTCAGGTTGGATGGGGAGTGTTGCTGCACAGCTATTTTCAGATCTCTCCAGAGAGGAGAGGTTCGATCGGGTTCAAGTCTGGGCTCTGGCTGAACCACTCAAGGACATTCAGAGACTTGTCCCAAAGCCACTCCTGCGTTGTCTTGGCTGTGTACTTTGGGTCGTTGTCCTGTTGGAAGGTGAACCTTCGCCCCAGTCTGTGGTCCTGAGCACTCTGGAGGTTTTCATCAAGGATCTCTCTGTACTTTTCTCCGTTCATATTTGCCTCGATCCTGACTAGTCTCCCAGTCCCTGCCGCTGAAAAACATCCCCACAGCATGATGCTGCCACCACCATGCTTCACCGTTGGGATGGTGCCAGGTTTCCTCCAGGCGTGACGCTTGGCATTCAGGCCAAAGAGTTCAATCTTGGTTTCATCAGACCAGAGAATCTTGTTTCTCATGGTCTGAGAGTCTTTACATGCCTTTTGGCAAACTCCAAGTGGGCTGTCATGTGCCTTTTACTGAGGAGTGGCTTCCGTCTGGCCACGCTACCATAAAGGCCTGATTGGTGGAGTGCTGCAGAGATGGTTGACTTTCTGGAAGGTTCCTCCATCTCCACAGAGGAACTCTAGAGCTCTGTCAGTGTGACGATCGGGTTCTTGGTCACCTCCCTGACCAAGGCCCTTCTCCCCTGATTGCTCAGTTTGGCCGGACGGCCAGCTCTAGGAAGAGTCTTGGTAGTTCCAAACTTCTTCCATTTAAGAATGATGGAGGCCACTGTGTTCTTGGGGACCTTTAATGCCTGTCTCGGAGCTCTACGGACAATTCCTTCGACCTCATGGCTTGGTTTTTGCTCTGACATGCACTGTTAACTGTGGGACCTTACATATACAGGTGTGTGCCTTTCCAAATCATGTCCAATCAATTGAATTTACCACAGGTAGACTCCAATCAAGTTGTAGAAACATCTCAAGGATGCTCAATGGAAACAGGATGCACCTGAGCTCAATTTCGATTCTCATAGCAAAGGGTCTGAATACTTATGTAAATAAGGTATTTCTGTTTTTATTTTGTATACATTTGCAAACATTTCTAAAAACCTGTTTTCGCTTTGTCATTATGGGGTATTGTGTGTAGACTGCTGAGGATTTTTATTTATTTAATCAATTTTAGAATAAGGCTGTAACGTAGCAAAATGTGGAAAAAGTCAAGGGGTCTGAATACTTTCCGAAGGCACTGTAATTATGTTAACACAAAGAGTGACTTGGACTTGACTTTGTAGTGGGATTTTTGGTTACCTCATTAAATTGTGGAGCTGGTGCATGTTGTGGCTGCTGCTGCTGATTCTGCTCCAGCCACTGGGGGGCGCCACCATGAACAATCTGCTCCCGCAGCCACACCAGACTGATGAAGGCGCAGAGTGTACACGTCACCACGAAACAACCCTGCAAGCAGTCCGCCAGCAAGTTCTCTCTGTGGATGAAGTGACATGACAATTGTCTCATGGTGAGTCAGAATGTTATTGGCTAAATGACTAGAAAACATTTGTTTAATGTTTTTACAGGGTATTGTTTTGTACAGGTTTGGGAGAAGAAAAGAAGGACAATCTTACGTAGAAAGCATATCTAATGGCAGGGTGAGGAGTGAGCTCACAGAGCCGGTAAACAGACACTTGTAGATGCGACCTGCGGGAATAAGAAAGTCAGTCAACACACACTGACATATTCAAAAAGGCCAACAATGGATAGCATATTGAACAACATGTACCAACAGACTGTGTTTTAGGACATTTGCACTTACATGCTGTGAGAGGAACGACTCCCAGCCAAGCAAAGGCCACTAGTGTGTAGTGAAACCAGTATCTAATAGCTGTGCCTACACTTGTCACCAGCCCCGCAAATATGTCCTGGACCGGCAGCCGGGAAGGCATGTCTGGAGAATAGACTGGAAGAAACAAAGGAAAGAAAGTATCAAAACAGGATACTTTCACATCCTCAAATTCCAACCCTCCTTTACTGCTCCTAATTGGGTCCATTCGGGAACTAAGAAAAGCTTGCATAGGATCATAATAGCTGTCTGGTCAGAAAAGTGGCAAAGTATTTTCTATTGGTATGATGACAGACTATCCTTGTCCTTTAGACAATTTAATCATCTGAGAAAACCACAATTTAAATCTCTCACTAAATGAATGAGGATGGCAGACAGACTCCGGTAAGAGAAACAGAGCAGGCTGCGCACATTAGTATAGACAGGGCTGTGTGTGTGTCCCCTGTGCCTGTCCTGAATGATAACTAGTCAGGGCAGCTCACAGCCTTACTCTAATGAGAAGTAGTAATACTTCCCCTGAGACTGATCAAGACCACACATGCACTTCAAAATAAAAGACTTCAAGAAATATGTCAGAGGTCAGTCATTGGATGATGATATTGGACTGCAATCCCTCTGTCAAAACAGGCAAATGGCCCTATGAGGTAGGCTTATACATTAGTCACGTCATTGGAACCCCATATAACTGAAGTAAATGCTGCATTGTATAGTATGTTAAACAGAATAGGCATATAGACACAGAGAAGTAAATTAAATTGAATTACTTACTTGGCGTAAAAGCAAATCTGTGTTTGCATAACTCGCAGTATTCTTTTCTGCTGTGTTTTAGCCATTGTACCAAGCTGTGAAAACACAGATGGATTATATAACTGTGGTGTCACATGTGCAGCAATGTAAAATATCAATTGAGGTTGCCTAAGGTCAGTCCATCTAGCTAGATTTAGCACGGGGAGCGATCTAGTATCAGAGCCCATCTCTGGCTAACAGATCACATTTTTATGGCAACTTGTCACACCCTGGCTTCCATTACACCTTTTCCATAGTAATACTTGGCTCTGCTCCCCTCTGTTGAGTGTATCATGCTCTGGCAAGAACCCAGTCTGTCTCTAAAGAAATGCCACTGGCCCTGTGTTTGGGCATACAACCAACCAGCACCACATACCATTCTTGGTGGATGAATTTTATACTTCCTGTGCAAACACAGGGGTGATATAGTGGCTTGTCTGGGGTTCCTTCAGACCGGCAGACCCGACATATATCCCCTGCAGAAGACAAGGACATTAATCAGACAAAATCAGAGAACAGGGTTCAACCAACTCAGAAGAAGTATGATGCTGTATGAAATTCAGATAGGCTTTGTTTTGAGAAAACAAAATGTGAAACTTGCATGAAAACAACCTAGCTAGCAGATCTTTCAGTGGTCTCAAGACTCTTTTTGTCAGGACCTTTCATTTGTAAATACTCTGGGGCTTTTGATTAACTTTACAAACAGCAATGAATCATCCCCATGCTTTACCTGTCATTAATCAAGTGAGTGACAGCACTAATGGCAATGGGTGGCACATACTGGGTAGGTTGGCAAACAGTTCAATTCTATATTATTATTGTTGTTATGTTAGTTAGTTATGTTGATTAGTTAGAAATGGAGGACTGATACATCACTAGTCTATTGAATTTAAATGTAATCAACAACGTGTAGAAGTGCAGTGAAGTCAGTTAGCTAGCTACTAATGTTAACGAACAGTGATAAAGCTTGGTTATACTGTATATTGGACTTAGTGGTGAGTGGATGTAGCTAAAGTTAGCTAACGTTAGCTAGTGATGCTAATACTTCATGCAGGTTGCAGCTTCGACAGAAAATAACGGTTATTGTCAATTTGCAACAAAACAGATTCCTAGAGGCCCAATCAAATGTGTGTCACAACAGGGGGTTAACTAATTATGTAACGTAAATGTTTTTAACAAGATGGGTTGACGAGGTTGCTAGCTACCTTCCTCGGCGGTGTCCATCTTGAATGCTGACGCACACTGTCCTCTTTACAGTCAACACATAAGACGAAACACCGTCTGGCTAGTTGGTGAAAAGCCTAGCAGCCAGCGAACAAAAACCCCCATCTCAGAATGATGTTCGATTCGAACATTAACGATCACTGGTTACAACGTAACTTCTCTATTTCCCCGTGGGGATACAATGTAGCAATTTTATCCGGCACACTCCACGGCCCTGTGGCTAGATTAGCTACGGTAAAATCTGCAGTGCGCAGCAACTATCAGTATGCGTCACCGTATAAGAGTAAGCTGCGCACTTTTATATTTTTTATTCCAAAAATAAATATTAAACAAATACGTTAAGACAGTTTGATTTCATATTCAGTCAAAATAAATAAATGATGTGTTAGGTAGTAATGAATGCAAGAAGGGTAATTTGCTTACATTATCACAATTATTTTTTATTATTTTAAATACAGGTACAACCTTTACAGATTAGCAATTACTGACTTATACACATTTGATTTGATAACATCCTGGGAAGGTTTTTCAAATCAACAACAAAATCCCTGAGGCATCCAGGGATGAACACAATTATTATGATGTGGTAGTGTCACCATTGCCCTGGGGCTGCTGTGGAGTTACAATATGTCCCTGATGTGTTCCTTTTTCTGTTTTGAACGACTCTGCATCATATACCCACACAGTGTCTATTCCTTCTCCAGCGGTGCCATCAGGTGCCCAGTTGGGAAAAGGGAAACGGCAGGCCACCACTTTAGCTGTGCTCTGTAGTTCTGTCTGCAGTTTGCCCTCCAACTGATCCATCTGTGAAGTCATACAATCAAACATCATATTGAGGATCATATTGTTGATGTAGTGCTATGCGTGGTGGCATTTAGAAAATAAAAAGCTACCATTATTATTGTCAAGACTGGTAGATAATTAAGAATTAAACTCACCATCTGAGGTACTCCAAATATGACAACATTTGAGTACTGATTAAAGCTGACCTGAGATGAGAACCAGGGCATACAAATAAATTAAAAGAAAGACCCAACATTAGTTCCCCCTGTATTGGTTATTAGGCTACTACATAAACTTTATTTTGGATGGTGAACAATTTGTAAATGATCGCTGATGAATTGACTAACCTTCCATAAATCTGATATGTGGAAGGAAGTAGAATGATGAACTCCCTCTCTCCAAGCTCTGTAACGGGAGTACCACACCAACCATGGATTCAACTCAAGTCCAACAGCTCGAAATCCTTTCTTTGCAGCTGCTATCACCTGCAGAAATTAAATGGATTGTTAAATCAAAGTGCCAGTGATAGGAGCAACAAAATACTACACATTTCCAGCCTAACAGCCTTCAGGGATGCTAATAGGCTACAACTAAATTCCTTCTAATGCAATTTGTAACTTTAATTTCCAGAGAAGAGTGCAAGCCCTGCAAATTGCACAAACCCAAGGATCTAATTTAACAATCAATAGTGAAGTCACAATCACAAATTAAGACATTGTCTGGTCCTCCTCTGATCAGATTACCAAGTTTACTTACTATTCTTCCATCCCCACTTCCGATATCCACGAGGGATCCAGATCTCGCCTGCAGCACTCTCAGGACATTTTCCACCTGTGCTGTAGTTGCGGGGACATAAGGTAGGCACACCTTTCTCAAAGCAGGTGCAACAAATGGACCTGCAACAGCGTAGAGGGCAACCAATGACCCCCCGACAATTCCAGTTGCGATCAGTCCTAAACGTTTTTTGAAGCCGCTGTCTTTAGCATTAACGTTATATTGTATCGCCTCCGTTTCCAGTAGATTGTGTTCTGTCATGATGACTTGCTACTTTGAATCAATGAATGAGCGCGAGCTGCTGGAAACCGCCACTGTTAGCTATCTACTCATCCAAGGACATGTATTGATAGCTACATCATTCAAGAACATGTAGAAATTACGAGACTAACCACCAAACCTACACTTAAACACGTGGGATGTAACTAAATAGCAAATTGACATGACATTTGAATGTCAGAAAAGTTGAAAATACTTTATTAGAATTAAAACCTCGCTCTCCTCTCGCTCTGGACCAAGGTGTGCAGCAGATATATGTCCGACTTGATGCGAAATGCAGTTTCGTTAGTTCCTAGTTCCACTCAATCATCTTGCTTTTTCCTTTTCTAAAATGTGGTTAACATACCATCCTCTATTACTACCACCCTATGTGTCACAAAACCAAGCATTTAATGATATAATGTATTAAATGTAAAATGATAATACATTTTTAAACGTAATAACAAAACAGAGGTACAGTATTTGGAGATGGTGTAGCCTACACTATACAGGGGGAACAATGTATTATAACTGACAGCAATACACATTGTATAGACTTATAACTGACAGGAATACACACTGTATAGACAACACCATACAACAATAAAAAGCTAAATATGAAATCATAACAGGTGCAAACATGATGTATATTGTATTTTTCATGCACACAGTCAAAGGGGGAAATTAAACCACTTCATATTCAGAACATACCTAAATTAAAACCAAGGGGACACCATAGATCATATCAGAATGTGTATGTTTTTTGTTCACTAAAAATATTTACAAAACCACAACCATTCCATGATATGCATTCTTAATTTGTAGGCTACTTGTGTGAATCCAAGCAGAACAAAAACATATTTATTTAAAACAAATGGAACAAGCAAAGAGGAACAGAAAATCTGTTTGGTTGTAGGGCATGCATGTTCCTCATACCTCATAAATCATTGGACATTGACCGGTGTGCAGCCAGGACATGGTGGCTCTGGCTGGAGGTGGGACAGTCATCCATGTCGTCATCCTGGTCACAGCCATCCTGCCCGTCCTGTGAGTAACTGTACTTCATCATCAGTATATTCCTGTGGCTGGAGGGTGTGGCGTGGTGGGACTGTGAGAGAGGTATGTCTGACATGATGGCTGCATCCCGCACACTCAGGTTACTTTGGCTGCCCTTGACACTGGACACCTGGGAGTGGGCTCCGCCGCAGTGGTGGTCACGAATGCATTTGGACGAAGACCGTCTGAGTTTGTGAAACTTCTCAAAGTCCTCGGTCATAGCCATTTCGGTCATGTGGTCGGCAGAGGCTGCCCTCCGCAGGGTGCACAGTTCATAATGTGGGGGCTCAAAGGCCTCGTGGAGCAATGTGGGGTCAAAGTCATCCCTTCTGATTATGTATTTTTTGCGTGGCTGTTTGACTTGAATGATACTTGCCACAATTAGAAGGACAACCACCAGACCACAGGTGACTAGAATGATTGTGACATTGGTGTGGTCAATATTGTCTAAGATGCTGGCACTCCTCTTCTCTGTGGACAGTAAATATGACATACAATCAAGTTTTCTATTGTGGCGGCTAGGTTTGAATTGTGATGAATTGTGTGATGAAAGTTACATTTCGATTTATCAACATTACATTTAGAATCCACCATTAACGTGTACTTTTGTCATACAGGTTAACCTAAAACATTGACTGTAGTTCATATTTGTCAGCTCTATACCCAAATGGAACAGGTGTCTCACCTTTGCAGTTGTTCTCATCCCAGGGGTAGACACAGTTCTGGATCCCGTTGCACACTAAGCTGGTGTTGATACACATGTTGCTATGGCAAAAGAAAGCCTCAGCTTCACAAGGAGCTGAAAACATGGGGAACATAACTTTACTCCCTAAATATTAAATAGGGTTTGAAAATAATTAATTAGATTAAAAAGCAACCAATAAGGCTTAAGCCGCTTGCACACTGCCACAACAAACTTCAACAAATGCCAACAAACAGACACCTATAGCCAACTCGTTTTTCCCCCAGTGTTTGTTGGCGTTTGATGGGGTTTAATGTGGCAGTGTGCAAGTGGCTTTAGATCACGTTTGGTCCAGGAGTGTTGTTACAACACTATATTTTTAAAAAATCTAGTTGTTTCAACTAATTATTATTAAGTAACTGGTTCCACAGTTACTCAACTTTTCGGTCAGTGTTACCTGTACTTAACATTTTTAGTTGGCCCAAATGTAGCTCCAACTTGAGAAAACTTAGACAACAATTCAGTCAATTTAAAATGATCTGTTTGCTCAACTTGTCTCATATATTAATTAAACTAGAAATTATTATTTGGGCATCTTAACTAAGAAAGGCTCTACAACTGGTTACACATACACACAGTACCTTTAACATACCATTTTTTAAACTTATATATTTGACACATGTTGACATACAGTGCATTCGAAAAGTATTCAGACCTCTTGACTTTTTACAAATGTTGTTAGGTTACAGCCTTATTCTATAATTGATTAAAATGTTTTTTTCCCCTCATCAATCTACACACATTACCCCATAATGACAAAGCAAAAACTTTTCTTAGTTAAGATGCCCAAATAATAATTTATAGTTTAATTAATATATGAGACAAGTTGAGCAAACACATCATTTTAAGTTGCCTGAATTGTTGCCTAAGTTTTCTCAAGTTGGAGCTAAGTTTGGGCTAACTAAAGAATGTAAGTTCAGGTAATACTTTGATTGAAAGGTTGAGTAAACAAAAAAAGTTTGTGGAACCAGTTACTTAATTATAATTAGCTGAAACAACTATCTTTTTTTTACAGTGACACAATAACCCAGTAAAGGGGCCTCGTATTCCCTGCGGCTGCCTCTCCTTGCAAACTAATTGGAACATTTCAAACAATGCATCAACAATTGAACATAGCAGTAGATGGATTGGAAATTGTGTCAAATTAATTCACTAACGCTCTAGGAAGGTTGTGAAAAGGATCCGGAAGCGGCTTTTTCGGCTGCCCTGGTCAGCCCACATTCGTATGACCCCCACTGAGGTCACCAACATCACATCGTTGGCCACTGTGCTGCAGAACTTGTTCTTCAGGTGCTCCACTGAGCTACTCCCGTCATACACGGCCACAAAGTTACGTTTGCATTCATTGGAGTTGTGCATCTCATATTCCAAAAATCGCAAATAGATCTGCAAGAAAATTGTCAAATAAAAATGTGAAACAATAGGTTTACAACCAAATGAGAACTTGACTTGAGTATCTTTTGTATATCATGTTTTCCAAAAGACTAAATGGAGAATGTGAGTGAGGGATATTGCAAATATGAAGAAGAAACACACAAAACTGTACTGACCCTTCCCTTTGGTGGTGCCCGAATGAACCACCTACAGTCCACAGCCTCTGTCTGCAAGGCTTTGCCCTCTTTGAGTATTGCTGCAGAATCAATGATCCCATCTGATCCACCAAGATCAAATTCGCAAACTGTAGTACAGGAGAGTCCATTGCACAAGGTGTTAGTTAGACAACAGTTGGCTGTTAAAATATACAGTATAAGGCTAATATATGTTTACATAGGTGAACCATGTACATACAAGGCAGAGGCGGTAGGACACCCATGTCTTTAAATTCAGGATCTGAAAAGAGAGCACACAACAGTGAGCCTATTGTATACCTCTTCTGACATTTCACGAAATACATGTTCTGTGTCTGAAAGGATAAGGGCCAGCAATGCATCATCTCGAATGTGTGAACCCTGTCCATAGTTTAATCCATTCTGCAATCATCCACTTGTCCTTCATAACTAAATAAAGCATGTAGAGACAGAAAGAACAGGAATTCTATCCTAAAGCTTCACCATTATGATTTGTAGGTGGATTAATAATCCTTGGACCAGCTTTATACAGATTAGGCTGCACAAGCAATGAGAACCAAGTGATAAAATCGGACTTCCAAACAATTTTTCATGATAACCTCATCTTTTTAGATTTTGAGGGAGAACCCAGTTTGCTAAATATTAATATAAATATAAAACAGTGATATTAAGAGGCAGATCTTTGTGATATCGCCATGGCTGCAAGGAGGAGACAGCTGAACTATTTCAAACCTAAACTCAGCCATGAATCCGTATTAATCCTCTTGTTTCTTACCTCTGTATCATGGATTATTCACAGTGTGGTTGTGTGTGTGTGTGTGTGTGTGTGTGTGTTTGTATGTGTGTGTGTGTGTGTGTGTGTGTGTGTGTGTGTGTCAGAAGATATGAAAAATATGAAAATATATGAAACATATGTCAATAGTGCTTTTTCTATCCAGTTTAAAACAAATATTTACTGCAAACACTCACGCTTATGTAATAGTGTAGTAATAAGACGATGATCGGTCAATTAATTATCCTGCCACTGATGAGAGGAATTAGAAGCGATTAGCTTTTGGCATTAAAGGATTCATTACTTCAGAGGTAAACACTGGGAAATCAGCTTGTACTTCTCTACCAATACAGGCCTGGGAAGGCTTTCTATTGGCTAGAGTATTGTTGTGTGGATACTTTTTTTATGGATACTTTTTGTTGTATAAGTCCTACAAAGGGTACCCTCACACTCACTCACTCACTCCTCAAAATGTGCCACTGTGTTTCAGGGAGAGATTATCTGGGAATCAATTTATACCTATTTATATCAATCTATATTAATCTTTTGACACTGAAGTATCTCATCGGAACTTGTGGATGAGCCATTCTCACTTCAAGTCTTGACTCCAATGCAGGGCAGGCAGTGATATCGAATAACCATGTCTACTGGCCATGTCAAAACCTTCACGAGATTGTGAGGTTACTGAGACACATTTTTGAAAGATTTATCTGGTGAATGGCTTTGATTGGGAGAGAGGGAAACAAGAAAGCAGATTAATCTTTCCTCCCAACGTAAGTGCCCTATAAATTCTGCTAGGAATACATTCTCAGCTGCATGGGTATCCCTTAAGCTGAGGCTCAGAGCTGACAAGCTGTACTCCCCTGAAGACAAGCTTTCATTAACTGGGCTGGGTGAATGAGGAGATAACCCCACCCCAGCTGCAGCATGTGTGCCTGCACTACAAATGCAGCAGCTGATATGAACACACACAGCAGTAAGCGCCACACCAGTCTTCTGTAGCTGCAGCTCAGTCACTGAGCTGTGACTGGTTAATTGTTTTGGCTGAATTTCTCTGCATTCACTGGATGTGTACAACTTTATGTAAATATTGTGTCTGTGTGTCTGCATGTGTGCCTGTGTGAGATAAACTGTTAGCCTATCAGAGTCATACATTCAGCAACAACCTCAGAATAACACTGAAAATATTGAAACGGTTAAAATAAATCAATGTATTTGAAATTATATTACCTTGAGTGAAGTTATAGCGTGCTGAAAATCCAATTGCCTCCAGTTCCCCATCTGCAACAAACTTTATATGCAGGTATCGCCCACTTGATTTAATATACAAAGGGCTTTCCTGGCCACAGTATCGACCAATTAAAGTGGAGAAGGAAAAGGGCCCATCACGGACTTCAATGTGGTCAAATTTGCATTCCCATGAAGGCTCTATTGAATACTTCTCATCAAAGAAGAGGTCGATGCATTGTCTTGGTGAAGCTGAGGGAACACAGTGGGGAAATGTAAGAAAAATAAACATAATATCCAATAAAAAACAATTACTTGTTGAGATGGTGTTAATATCTCTTACCTTCAATTATGTAAATACACGTTCGCTCTGGTGGGTACTTTTGGGGGTAGTTGGGGGAGGTGAACAGGCCTCCCTCAGCCTCCTTTATCCAGGTGCCACATTGGCCAATTGGGGTCACCCCTGAATTGTTTGTCACTGAAGCACAAGATTAATTTTCAGGTGCCAATCATACAGAATCATTATAACATCCAGCTTTGTCTGACATGAAAAATGTATCAAATGTATTGGTATTGATCTGGTGTGTCATAGCCTTCTTCATTACACAGACATTACTTTTCACAGTTAGGTAGATTCCAACAGAACAGGGAAATAAATCACTCTACACACAGTGTATATTTCAGGGTTACCTGCTTTTTTTCCTGGTGTACCAGACAATCCAAGAGTGATTAGACTTGCAACTACTGCTGTAAAAATCAAAGGAAATGAAAGTTAGAAAAATATGTACAGTAAAACAATTGGCTATGGAAATTGTGTTTGTATATGTTACTAAACCACAAAATAAAATGATGTTCCACAAAATCCAGAAATTACAATTTCGTTTCATAGCATAATGAATTCCCATTTAGCGTTTTTTTTTTTTTAAAGCGTAATTTCTGGAAAGTTCAATGGCAAGCATTGATTTAACTTTATACTGTTGACCATCTAACTATGCTTTTAAAGAGATAATGTGATACAAACAAAAGTAGACTAAATTTACCGAGAGGCAACACAAGTTTGTCCAACATGTCTAATCCTTGCTGTTTTCAATCCCAAGTATTTCCAAAACGAAATTAACGAATCATTATTCCGAGTAATGGGACAATTCAATCATCATATCCACGATATCCCTATTTTATCTCTGCATAAACAACACAGAAATACAAAGTTACGGGAGGAAAAGCAATCTCAATCCATCCGCTGCTGCTGTGACAGACAGGTCTGAACGTTCTCCTGAGTCCTGATTTCCATCCAAGCGCAGCGACGATAATCCGACCGACAGCAACCTTAAATGAGTATAGTATCCTTGACAGTTGACACCGGGCCAATTTCCCGTATTAAATCTGCCACATGCATCATCATAGGTCTCTGTTCTTGTGGTATTTATTTCCCGTGGACGTTCTGCATAAATACTCGGTCTGGACACTTCAAGCCACCTTCCTCTCAAATGTTTAGGCTATTCAATACTGGTAGTACTGTAATAACTAGTTAATAAACTATAATGATGTTGTTTTATGAAGGAACTGCAATTCAGCTTGAACTCAAGCTCAACTTTATTTTGGTAAGATATTAGAGATGCATTGGGGAAAGGGTTGGGGTCAATTCGGAATTTCAGAATGTAATTCAATTCAAATCAGGAATTCAAATTCGAATTTGAATTGGCCACACCCCAAAGGAAGCAGAATTGAATTTGAATTAAAATAAGTAAAATTGAATTCAGACCAATTCAAATAAATTCAACTGAGACATGAAACATACACTATTTTTGTAATAAGATGTGGAGTGTTTTATCTAATGCATTCTTGGATATGCATTTTTGTTTAATATTTAATAACATGAAAGTGAATTATGAATTATTATAGAAAACCTACAAAATGAACTAACAATATTTCCAGACCACTATAATTATTGAAAACTAATTTAAATGTTTCAAGAACATGTTAAAAATAGTATTGGTTACCATACATGATACACAAAATAAACATGTGCTTAATGATTTATGGAATATTTTCATTTAATAATTTCAATTAATTTCACTGAATAAAATTCTACTTCCTTTAATTCATATTCAATTCAACTTCTGCTTCCTGCAGGGTGTGGCCAATTCAAATTCAAGAATTGAATTGGCATTTTAGACCAATTCAATTTAGAATTAACCCCAATTGGGGAGCATTGTTGTGATAAGCAGCAGGGAAGCTAGAATAAGGATGGATGCAATTAACAAAAGCTTACTTGGCACTGGGTCTCAGAAAACAGATGGGAGGAGGGTTCATCCAGTTTCTCCCAAATGAACTTTGGCAACCTCTGTCTGAAGCCTTTACAATGTGAGCAGAAGGTAACAGTGGGTCCATACAGGAACCAAGATCATAATACTGGATAATGCTGCATATTATACTTCACTATTATGAAAAAAAAACACAAATGAAAGGAATCATCGAAACAATATGAACAAAGTACCAAACAGATCCAGAGAGAGGGGGGGGGGGGGGGGGGGGGGGGGGGGCTACAGTAATATGTCCAGATGTCCTCTTGCTAGAATTGCCTTTAATTCCAGGCCAGGTGTCCCAGGTGTGAAATTATTATGGGCAACAGGGTGTGTTGACATATTGCAGACACAACAGTCAGTTCACCGTGTGGAAATAACATCTCTCATTTCATATGCTAAATGTTTGATCTGCAATCCATGCAAAAATAAAGACAGTCCTATAAGCTCAGCCTGAACTCACTATACAGTCTGTAGTATTTTGTCTCTTTGCCATGCTGTTTATCTGTGAAAAAAAACCATGAATTTCTGTTGAATGTTTTTGACTGCCATATGGGATGAAGAAATAAAGTAAAAGTAAAGTATTTCAATTCAAGAAAGTTTTTAGAAAATGTATATTTAAACAGATCCGTATCATTCAATATTACTGGGGAAAAGGAGAAGCTCGAGTTTCTCATATAAATATTGCAAACACGTATTTCATTCACATGGCCTCAATGTTGCAAAGCTGGATTACTTCTCACTGTTCCAGACCAAAGAGAAATCAACTCCCTTGATATTCTGCAGAAGGGAGACAAATCTGACAATACAATCCATCTGGCTTTAGTTTCTGTGAGGCAGATTGTTGTTACTCAGAGTTTATTCAGGACAACGAATGGGTCTTCATTTTTTGCACACTCAGACAGAATAGGAAAATCTGAATTCATGATGACACAGAGGAATTCAGTCAGTCACTGACTGTGTCCATTCCCCAAATGCACTCACCGCTCACATTATAATGGCAATGCCACTTTCAATGAAACATGCGGAACATGTATGAATGTTGAATGTTGAACAAGGTTTATATTTCTCTGTGAATGTTTTTTCAAGTATTATGTAACTAATAAGAAGGCATTATACTGTATAGGTCTCGCGAGACCACATGCACATAGCTATCCACATGCACAGGCTATCCAATCTGAGACCACTGCGTGCACAGTCAGTATTACATCTGTAATTACACAATATTATCTGCATGGAGCCATAAGCAATTGCGCCATGCTTGGAATATCAGGGCATGTTTTAGCTGCAGTTTGTATGAGCTGCACCCAAGTGTGGTGTGTAGTCCATTCTCCCCACTAAACAATCATTCTGATGTAATTTTGTCTGCAAAACATAGTATTTTGGACCGATTTAGATACATTATTATTATGGAGATGATCCAAAACCAGAGATTAAAGTCTTTAGTTTAGACTTAATAGTGATTTGAGAAGAAAACAGTTATTGTCAGACATGCCATCTGTTCCAATATGGTAAGCAATAATGTTAAGAATAGAAAGTGGGTCATATTGACTGTAAAATATTGTCAATATGGCTGTATGTGTGATATAACAGAGAGCAGTCTGCATTGGGCTTTCCATGAATATCAGAATACCATCTACTGTCAACTCTCTTTTTCATTCATTTTACCTCTTTTATATAGACAGATACAGCTTTAGCCAAGAACTTGATGGTGCAAGTGTAACTCATATCACAGCCTTGACACTACACTATGCATATACCGTGTGTGAGTGAGTGAATGAGTGAGTGAGTGAGTGAATAAGAGAGAGAGAGAGCTGGTGAACGGTTTGAAGGGGGGCTGATTGCCACAAAACGGATAAGCAGAGCAGTCGCAAACCATAAACGGTGTTACAGTTTAGCAGACAATGTTTCTTCGATTTTGTACCATGCTGTCATTGGTCCTCCTAGGATTTGGCGTTGCATTTTCGCTGGGACAGAATTACACAGAACCTCTTGTTTTGGAGGGAAAGTGTCTGGTGGTTTGTGATGCGAACCCGTCTGCAGAGGGAGCGCTGACCTCTTCCTTCGGGATATCTGTACGAGCAAGCGGTGCTAAAGTGGCTTTCTCTGCACTCAGGGGAACGAACCATGAACCTTCTGATATGAGCAATACGCCTCTGACCATCTACTTTGACCAGGTTAGGGATTATTTGTGTCTTTCATGATTTGTGTCTTTTCATAGGCTAATATTGATAATGTAGACCACATGTTTGTACTCTTTAGGACGTTTAACGTTTTTCTCATTGCAGGTATTAGTGAACATTGGCAACCATTTCAATCTGCAAGCGAGTATATTTCAAGCACCAAGAAGAGGCATTTACAGTTTTAGCTTCCATGTGGTGAAGGTTTACAACAGACAGACTATACAGGTACGTGTCTAGGGAGGTCTGTATTGAGATGCCATTGAATTGTGTTTTTTTCTTGTCTTTATCATACCCGTTGCATATAACACTCTGCAGGTAAACTTGATGCACAACGAATACCCTATAATATCAGCTTTCGCCGGGGACCAGGATGTCACTCGAGAGGCTGCGAGCAATTCAGTCCTTCTGCACCTGGAACGGGAGGACCAACTCTACTTGAAGCTTGAGAGGGGGAATCTAATGGGTGGATGGAGGTACTCAACGTTTTCTGGATTCTTGGTGTTTCCACTCTAATCACAACTCTCAAATCAAGTTACTCTTTTTTATTTTCTTCAAGGACGTTGGCCTCCCATCCCTGGGCTTTAATTATGAATACATGTATAACTGACTGTGAGATAAAGTAGGCTATATGGGTAATTTATGACGAAATTATTCCGTGCTATGAGGTTGGGATTTGTATTGCTGAATGTGACTGATTGTTGGTATATTATTGCCTATTCAAGCGATTGTCAGTTGCGACCATTCAGTCGCTATCCATGGTCCTGCAACCGCAGACACACTCGGTAGCTGTCCGTGGCGCTGAAAGCACAAAACGCATCTCAAGCGTACATAGCCAACATGTAGCAATTGAGCGTTGGCTCTAGTGTCAACGTTGTTGCAATAGTGACATTGAAATATTGTAATCAAATAATATTTTCCAAAGGTGTGCAAATGTAGGCTAGCTGGCATTTGGACCTATATTGCACATTGATACAGTGTTAATTTTGGCACTCTTTTTTAGATTTAGTCTAGTCTTAGTCATCTTGACTAAAATAACATTGTTTTAGTCACATTTTTCTCATTTGAATAATGATTAAGTCTAGTTATTGTCAAAATGATGAAAACAGTGCGCCATTTTAGTAAACTAAATGCCCTTTAATTTTAGTCACGTTTTAGTCACATCACATTTGTGTTGTCTCATTAACCTATACTAAACATAAATCACTGACTCCCATGTGCACAAACATACATAGCCTTGTCCTATCAACATAATTTTCAACATAGCATCATATTCTATTCCCAACAGCAGAAATATGACAAACATACACTACCGTTCAAAAGTTTGGGGTCACTTAGAAATGTCCTTGTTTTCGAAAGAAAAGCAATTTTTTTGTCCATTAAAATAACATCAAATTGATCAGAAATAAAGTGTAGACATTGTTAATGTTGTAAATGGCTATTGTAACTGGAAACTGCTGATTTTTTATGGAATATCTACATAGGCGTACAGAGGCCCATTATCAGCAACCATCAGTCCTGTGTTCCAATGGCACGCTGTGTTTGCTAATCCAAGTTTATCATTTTAAAAGGCTAATTGATAATTAGAAAACCCTTTTGCAATTATGTTAGCACAGCTGAAAACTGTTGTGCTGATTAAAGAAGCAATAAAACTGGCCTTCTTGAGACTAGTTGAGTGTTGTGGGTTCGATTCCCACGGGGGGCCAGTATAAAATAAAAAAAATGTATTCACTAACTGTAAGTCGCTCTGGATAAGAGCGTCTGCTAAATGACTAAAATGTAATGTAATGTAATGTAATCTGGAGCATCAGCAATTGTGGGTTCGATTATAGGCTTAAAATGGCCAGAAACAAGGAACTTTCTTCTGAAACTCGTCAGTCTATTCTTGTTCTGAGAAATTAAGACTATTATATGCGAGAAATTGCAAAGAAATTGAAGACCTCATACAACGCTGTGTACTACTCCCTTCACAGAGCAGCGCAAACTGGCTCTAACCAGAATAGAAAGAGGAGTGGGAGGCCCCGGTGCACAACTGAGCAAGAGGACAAATACATTAGTGTCTAGTTTGAGAAACAGGCGCCTTACAGGTCCTCAACTGGCAGCTTCATTAAATAGTACCCGCAAAACACCAGTCTCAACGTCAACAGTGAAGAGGCGACTCCGGGATGCTGACCTTCTAGGCAGAGTTGCAAAGAAAAAGCTGTATCTCAGACTGCCCATCTTAATCTTTTCTTTTTATTGGCCAGTCTGAGATATGGCTTTTCGTATTTCCAAGCCACTGTAATGCACTTTTGACGAAGCATTGAGTAGAATGCTCAGTTGGGCATCAGTCCAAAACGAACATTCAAAAAACTATTGTGAGGAAACATGCAACCCATGAATAGCTAGCTAATGAGGTAACATGACTGAACAAGGTGTAGCCTAAACAAATGGTTAATGGTCTGGTCTGCAAGTAGCCTAGTTTTAGAATGGCCTGCGATATGCTTTATGAATGTAAAATGCTGCCCGCCAATGCAAGACAGAAATAAAAATATTTAGTGCTGGTATTATGGGTAATATCTTTTGGACAGTTAGGGGTAGAATCAAGCTGTTTTCTCTGAGGAAGAGAGGGAGACTTGGCTATGTTGGCTACAGAACCTGGTTATGAAATACAGTGGGAAAAGTTGAGCAAGACTACAAATTCAAAAACAGCCTACTTTTCTATACTCAAGGGAGTTAAAAACATAGCTAGACTGTTGTTTTATTATTAAACTCAATGCTGCTGTTGTTTTTAATTTCGTAAAGTAGCTTGTGTTTCTTAACCAGTCAAAGGGTATCTAGCTAGAAGGCTGGTGGTGACTGGTTAGCTACGGGGAAGAGAGTGTATAAATGGAGGCAGAGCCCGAGCGGAACCTGTATGCTTGTCTGCCCACACTCATTACTTGCTCCCCCGCAGCTCACCAGCTAATGTAGGCTTTGTGTGCAGGGTGTGGCAGCGGTCCTTCCCACTGCTGAACAGAACTGCACTGCTAACTGCTAATATTAATTGTGCTTATCACTGAAAAGTTCTCAATCTCTCCCAGATAATGTAGTCTTGTCTTGTTTTAGTTAACTGAAATGTTTTTTTTTTTTAGTTATATATAAATATATAATACTTTTTTGGGTCAGTTATAGTCTCATCAATTGCCACTGAAAAATAGATGTTTGAGGAATATTGTAGTCACCATTTTTGTTTAACTAAATTAACACTGCATTGATATTATGTACTGGACAATTTAACCTCTAAATAAAGATAAGTGACTAGAACCTCTCTCTCTCTCTCTGTGTGTGTGTGTGTGTGTGTGTGTGTGTGTGTGTGTGTGTGTGTGTGTGTGTGTGTGTGTGTGTGTGTGTGTGTGTGTGAATATGCACCAGTTAGACCTCAGAACTGCTGGCGTGTGACTGCTAAATTGTGTAGCTCTTTGTTTTTACATTTTAGTCATTTAGCAGACGCTCTTATCCAAGAGTGACAATATAATAAGTTCATTCATCTTAAGATAACTAGGTGAGACAACCACATATCACAGTCCTAGTAAGTACATTTTCCCTCAATAAACAAGTTATCAGCAAAGTCAGTGCTAGTAGGAAAAGCAGGTTGTTGTTTTGTTTAGAGGGATTTTTCTGATGTTGGTGCTGTAATTGGATATGTCAATGACCGTATGCAAATGGTTTTGTGTGTGTACAGTATGTAATTTTGGGTGTAAGTGTGTGTTAGACTAGAGGGAGGGAGAGAAAGAGGGAGAGATAGAGAGAGAGAGTAGACATCGTTTTCATTACACCTATCTATACCTGTGACACGTGTATCATTTACCTTGACATTATAAACCCCCCACTCACTCTCACTCTCTCTCTCTCTTTCTCTCTCTCTCTCTCTCTCTCTCTCTCTCTCTCTCTCTCTCTCTCTCTCTCACTCTCTCGCTCTCGCTTATCCATGGGGAAACTGTATCCATCTTATCCCAGCAGCAGTCATGTCTGGTGAGCGTGCACCCCTGTGCCATCAGAATAAAGTACTCAGCTCAATAGCTCCTCAGCGTGTGAGCATGGCTTTAGCCTTTTGATGTCTTTCCTCTTCCTCTGAGTTCACACTGAGAGCAGTGGAATGACCAAGGACAAAAACAATCTGTGCTGCGCCGACACCTGGCATGTACAGTGGGGGAAAAAAGTATTTAGTCAGCCACCAATTGTGCAAGTTCTCCCACTTAAAAAGATGAGAGAGGGCTGTAATTTTCATCATAGGTACACGTCAACTATGACAGACAAAATGAGAAAAAAACTTCCAGAAAATCACATTGTAGGATTTTTAATGAATTTATTTGCAAATTATGGTGGAAATAAATATTTGGTCAATAACAAAAGTTTCTCAATACTTTGTTATATACCCTTTGTTGGCAATGACACAGGTCAAACGTTTTCTGTAAGTCTTCACAAGGTTTTCACACACTGTTGCTGGTATTTTGGCCCATTCCTCCATGCAGGTCTCCTCTAGAGCAGTGATGTTTTGGGGCTGTCGCTGGGCAACACAGACTTTCAACTCCCTCCAAAGATGTTCTATGGGGTTGAGATCTGGAGACTGGCTAGGCCACTCCAGGACCTTGAAATGCTTCTTACGAAGCCACTCCTTCGTTGCCCGGGCGGTGTGTTTGGGATCATTGTCATGCTGAAAGACCCAGCCACGTTTCATCTTCAATGCCCTTGCTGATGGAAGGAGGTTTTCACTCAAAATCTCACGATACATGGCCTCATTCATTCTTTCCTTTACACGGATCAGTCGTCCTGGTCCCTTTGCAGAAAAACAGCCCCAAAGCATGATGTTTCCACCCCCATGCTTCACAGTAGGTATGGTGTTCTTTGGATGCAACTCAGCATTCTTTGTCCTCCAAACACAACGAGTTGAGTTTTTACCAAAAAGTTCTATTTTGGTTTCATCTGACCATATGACATTCTCCCAATCCTCTTCTGGATCATCCAAATGCACTCTAGCAAACTTCAGACGGGCCTGGACATGTACTGGCTTAAGCAGGGGGACACGTCTGGCACTGCAGGATTTGAGTCCCTGGCGGCGTAGTGTGTTACTGATGGTAGGCTTTGTTACTTTGGTCCCAGCTCTCTGCAGGTCATTCACTATGTCCCCCTGTGTGGTTCTGGGATTTTTGCTCACCGTTCTTGTGATCATTTTGACCCCACAGGGTGAGATCTTGCGTGGAGCCCCAGATCGAGGGAGATTATCAGTGGTCTTGTATGTCTTCCATTTCCTAATAATTGCTCCCACAGTTGATTTCTTCAAACCAAGCTGCTTACCTATTGCAGATTCAGTCTTCCCAGCCTGGTGCAGGTCTACAATTTTGTTTCTGGTGTCCTTTGACAGCTCTTTGGTCTTGGCCATAGTGGAGTTTGCAGTGTGACTGTTTGAGGTTGTGGACAGGTGTCTTTTATACTGATAACAAGTTCAAACAGGTGCCATTAATACAGGTAATGAGTGGAGGACAGAGGAGCCTCTTAAAGAAGAACTTACAGGTCTGTGAGAGCCAGAAATCTTGCTTGTTTGTAGGTGACCAAATACTTATTTTTCACCATATTTTGCAAATAAATTCATAAAAAATCCTACAATGTGATTTTCTTGATTTTTTTTCTCAATTTGTCTGTCATAGTTGACGTGTACCTATGATGAAAATTACAGGCCTCTCTCATCTTTTTAAGTGGGAGAACTTGCACAATTGGTGGCTGACTAAATAATTTTTTTCCCCACTGTAAAAGTCCGTAATCATACCTCTCTCTAGTCCCGTTTGTACCTGATGCTAACATGGGTCCTTTGTCCTGATCTTGTCTACATTCTGATTGTGCCCACATTTCCAGAAATGTGTCTACACATGTTATTTAAATGTGTCTGTTATCCATCCATCCACTGTGTCTGCATTGTTACCAGATTTCCTGGTCCCTTTCTTTATGCAAAGTATTTCACAGCTATTCTTTCAAAATAATATTTATTTAGTTATTGTAAGACACATATTGATATAATCAGTTAATCGTGACACCTGTCAATGATTTTAGAGGGAGGAATAATTTAAATGTTTTCTCTGTCCAGATCTGTCTACACTATAGTCTACACATTGCTCGTCTGACTGCCTCCGGAGGTGGGCAGAATGATCTGGTCACAATCAGATCACAATGTGTATTTTGATTGTCTACACCTGTCTAAGAATGTGGCCAAGATCAGAATGTGGACAAAATCACTACAAAAGTTAGAAGCAGGTATAATCGGGGCTATTGAAACATCATGTGTATTTGCCCTTTCTTATCGAGATGGGAAGTGTCCTTTTCCCAGAAACCCAGCCGACTTTTATCCTGGCTGTACCTTGTTAACCCTGACTTTTAACGTGTTTGGAAAACACGGCTGCGTTTACACAGGCAGACCAATTCTGATATTTTGCCCAAGTATCGGCAAAAGAGCAGATCTGATTGGGCAAAAGACCAATTAGTGGAAAAATATCAGAATTGGGCTGACAGTGTAAACACAGCCCACTTGGCCCACAAAATGCTGTTTTTTCTCTTAAATGAAAAGTAACTGCATGGTTTAAAAAATGTATCATAGGCTGCATTTACACAGGTAGCCCAATTCTGATCTTTTCCCCAATTATTGGCAAAAGTGCTGATCTGATTGGTGAAAAGACCAATTAGTACAAAAATATCAGAATTAGGCTGCCTGTGTAAACACAGCCATTGACATATGCATGAATATAGCTTTTCTAGCAGCGCTACTTCAATGACATAGGCAGCCCAATTCTGATATTTTTTCAACTAATTGGTCTTTCGACCAATCACATCTGATGTTTTCACATCTTTTTCAGAGCTGATCTGAGTGGTCAAAACACCAATTAGTGAAACAAAAGATCAGGTTTGAGCTGCCTCTGTAAACAGAGCCATAGTTCCTTGCAAGAATTTACAAAAACAACAGCATATGCTAGACTTATTGCTTGTCAGGAAGATGCTAACGTTGCATTTCTTCTAGGTGATCTATAGTTGTTCCAGTGTGTTAATGAAAGACTATTCTATCACTGTCTCTAAATCACCACATGGTTTATGTTACTTAAATTAGTCATTTAGATTCTGCTGAAATTGCATTCTGCTTCATTTGAAGACTTGTGTTATTATTTAGATTACCCCAGTTGAACTATGTACTCCCATCTGCTTCTCACAGTGATGACCACACACTATTTCATTCTGAATACACTTAAATCAGTTTATGCAAAATATGTGTTTTGTGCATAGATTTTATATACAGTACCAGTCATAAGTTTGGATATACCTACTCATTCCAGGGTTTTTCTTTATTATTACTATGTTCTACATTGTAGAATAATAGTGAAGACATCTAAACTATGAAATAACACATATGGAATCATGTAGCAACCAAAAAAGTGTTATATTATATTTGTGATTATTCAAAGTAGCCACCCTATGCCTTGATGACAGCTTTGCACACTCTTGACATTCTCTCAACCAGCATCACCTGGAATGCTTTTCCAACAGTCTTGAAGGAGTTCCCACATATGCTGAGCACTTGATGGCTGCTTTTCCTTCACTCTGCAGTCCAACTCATCCCAAACCATCTAAATTGGAATGTGGTCGGGTGATTGTGGAGGCCAGGTCATCTGATGCAGCACTCCACCACTCTCCTTCTTGGTAAAATAGCCCTTACACAGCCTGGAGGTGTGTTGGGTCACTGTCCTGTTGAAAAACAAATGATAGTCCCACTAAACGCAAACCAGATGGGATGGCGTATCGCTGCAGAATGCTGTGGTAGCCATGCTGGTTAAGTGTGTCTTGAATTCTAAATAAATCACCAACAGTGTCACCAGCAAAGCACCCCCACACCATCACACCTCCTCCTCCATGCTTCACGGTGGGAACCACACATGCGGAAATCATCCGTTCACCTACTCTGCGTCTCACCAAGACACGGCGGTTGGAACCAAAAATCTCAAATTTGGACTCATCAGACCAAAGGACAGATTTCCACCGGTCTAATGTACATTGCTCGTGTTTCTTGGCCCAAGCAAGTCTCTTCTTCTTATTAGTGTCCTTTAGTGGTGGTTTCTTTGCAGCAATTCGACCATGAAGGCCTGATTCACACAGTCTCCTCTGAACAGTTGATGTTGAGATGTGTCTGTGACTTGAACTCTGTAAAGCAATCTGAGGTGCAGTTAACTCTAATGAACTTACCCTCTGCAGCAGAGGTAACTCTGGGTCTTCCATTCCTGTGGCGGTCCTCATGAGAGCCAGTTTCATCATAGCGCTTGATGGTTTTTGTGACTGCACTTGTTCCGGATTGACTGACCTTCGTGTCTTAAAGTAATGATGGACTGTTGTTTCTCTTTGCTTATTTGAACTGTCTTGCCATAATATGGACTTGGTCTTTTACCAAATAGTGCTATCTTCTGTATACCACCCCTACCTTGTCACAACACAACTGATTGGCTCAAACACATTAAGAAGGAAAGAAATTCCACAAATTAACTTTTAACAAGGCACACCTGTTAATGTGACTATCTCATGAAGCTGGTTGAGAGAATGTCAAGCGTGTGAAAAGCTGTCATCAAGGCAAAGGGTTGCTATTTTGAAGAATCTCAAATATATTTTGATTTGTTTAACACTTTTTTGGTTACTACATGATTCCATATGTATTATTTCATAGTTTAGATGTCTTCACTATTATTCTACAATGTAGAAAATAGTAAAAATAAAGAAAAACCCTGGATGAGCAGGTGTGTCCAAAATTTTGACTGGTACTGTATATACAGTGGGGGAAAAAAGTATTTAGTCAGCCACCAATTGTGCAAGTTCTCCCACTTAAAAAGATGAGAGAGGTCTGTAATTTTCATCATAGGTACACGTCAACTATGACAGACAAAATGGAGAAAAAAAACTCCAGAAAATCACATTGTAGGATTTTTTATGAATTTATTTGCAAATTATGGTGGAAAATAAGTATTTGGTCAATAACAAAAGTTTCTCAATACTTTGTTATATACCCTTTGTTGGCAATGACACAGGTCAAACGTTTTCTGTAAGTCTTCACAAGGTTTTCACAAATTGTTGCTGGTATTTTGGCCCATTCCTCCATGCAGATCTCCTCTAGAGCAGTGATGTTTTGGGGCTGTCGCTGGGCAACACGGACTTTCAACTCCCTCCAAAGATTTTCTATGGGGTTGAGATCTGGAGACTGGCTAGGCCACTCCAGGACCTTGAAATGCTTTTTACGAAGCCACTCCTTCGTTGCCCGGGCGGTGTGTTTGGGATCATTGTCATGCTGAAAGACCCAGCCACGTTTCATCTTCAATGCCCTTGCTGATGGAAGGAGGTTTTCACTCAAAATCTCACGATACATGGCCCCATTCATTCTTTCCTTTACACGGATCAGTCGTCCTGGTCCCTTTGCAGAAAAACAGCCCCAAAGCATGATGTTTCCACCCCCATGCGTCACAGTAGGTATGGTGTTCTTTGGATGCAACTCAGCATTCTTTGTCCTCCAAACACGACGTGTTGAGGTTTTACCAAAAAGTTATATTTTGGTTTCATCTGACCATATGACATTCTCCCAATCCTCTTCTGGATCATCCAAATGCACTCTAGCAAACTTCAGACGGGCCTGGACATGTACTGGCTTAAGCAGGGGGACACGTCTGACACTGCAGGATTTGAGTCCCTGGCGGCGTAGTGTGTTACTGATGGTAGGCTTTGTTACTTTGGTCCCAGCTCTCTGCAGGTCATTCACTAGGTCCCCCCGTGTGGTTCTGGGATTTTTACTCACCGTTCTTGTGATCATTTTGACCCCACGGGGTGAGATCTTGCGTGGAGCCCCAGATCGAGGGAGATTATCAGTGGTCTTGTATGTCTTCCATTTCCTAATAATTGCTCCCACAGTTGATTTCTTCAAACCAAGCTGCTTACCTATTGCAGATTCAGTCTTCCCAGCCTGGTGGAGGTCTACAATTTTGTTTCTGGTGTCCTTTGACAGCTCTTTGGTCTTGGCCATAGTGGAGTTTGGAGTGTGACTGTTTGAGGTTTTAGACAGGTGTCTTTTATACTGATAACAAGTTCAAACAGGTGCCATTAATACAGGTAACGAGTGGAGGACAGAGGAGCCTCTTAAAGAAGAAGTTACAGGTCTGTGAGAGCCAGAAATCTTGCTTGTTTGTAGGTGACCAAATACTTATTTTCCACCATAATTTGCAAATAAATTCATAAAAATCCTACAATGTGATGTTCTGAATTTTTTTCTCTCAATTTGTCTGTCATAGTTGACGTGTACCTATGATGAAAATTACAGGCCTCTCTCATCTTTTTAAGTGGGAGAACTTGCACAATTGGTGGCTGACTAAATACTTTTTTTCCCCACTGTATATACAGTGAGGGAAAAAAGTATTTGATCCCTTGCTAATGTTGTACGTTTGCCCACTGACAAAGACATGATCAGTCTATAATTTTAATGGTAAGTTTATTTGAACAGTGAGAGACAGAATAACAACAACAAAATCCAGAAAAACACATGTCAAAAATGTTATAAATTGATTTGCATTTTAATGAGGGAAATAAGTATTTGACCCCTCTGCAAAACATTACTTAGTACTTGGTGGCAAAACCCTTGTTGGCAATCACAGAGGTCAGACATTTCTTGTAGTTGGCCACCAGGTTTGCACACATCTCAGGAGGGATTTTGTCCCACTCCTCTTTAAAGATCTTCTCCAAGTCATTAAGGTTTCGAGGCTGACGTTTGGCAACTCGAACCTTCAGCTCCCTCCACAGATTTTCTATGGGATTAAGGTCTGGAGACTGGCTAGGCCACTCCAGGACCTTAATGTGCTTCTTCTTGAGCCACTCCTTTGTTGCCTTGGCCGTGTGTTTTGGGTCATTGTCATGCTGGAATACCCATCTACGACCCATTTTCAATGCCCTGGCTGAGGGAAGGAGGTTCTCACCCAAGATTTGACGGTACATGGCCCCGTCCATCGTCCCTTTGATGCGGTGAAGTTGTCCTGTCCCCTTAGCAGAAAAACACCCTCAAAGCATAATGTTTCCACCTCCATGTTTGGTGGTGGGGATAGTGTTCTTGGGGTCATAGGCAGCATTCCTCCTCCTCCAAACACGGCGAGTTGAGTTGATGCCAAAGAGCTGGATTTTGGTCTCATCTGACCACAACACTTTCACCCAGTTCTCATCTGAATCATTCAGATGTTCACTGGAAAACTTCAGACGGGCCTGTATATGTGCTTTCTTGAGCAGGGGGACCTTGCGGGCGCTGCAGGATTTCAGTCCTTCACGGCGTAGTGTGTTACCGATTGTTTTCTTGGTGACTATGGTCCCAGCTGCCTTGAGATCATTGACAAGATCTTCCCGTGTAGCTCTGGGCTGATTCCTCACCGTTTTCATGATCATTGCAACTCCACGAGGTGAGATCTTGCATGGAGCCCCAGGCCGAGGGAGATTGACAGGTCTTTTGTGTTTCTTCCATTTGCGAATAATCGCACCAACTGTTGTCACCTTCTCACCAAGCTGCTTGGCGATGGTCTTGTAGCCCATTTCAGCCTTGTGTAGGTCTACAATCTTGTCCCTGACATCCTTGGAGAGCTCTTTGGTCTTGGCCATGGTGGAGAGTTTGGAATCTGATTGATTGATTGCTTCTGTGGACAGGGGTCTTTTATACAGGTAACAAGCTGAGATTAGGAGCACTCCCTTTAAGAGTGTAATCTCAGCTCGTTACCTGTATAAAAGACACCTGGGAGCCAGAAATCTTTCTGATTGAGAGTTACATCAATGTTGCTTAAAAATCCTAACCTTTTTTTACATTTTGAGATATCCACACATACAGTATACAAAATTAACATCTACCTTGACAAGCATTAGTATTGGGAGACAGTTTTCATTCATTATTCAGTTGTCTATGTGTGGATAGGTCTATGATAGAAGGATGGTGTTTTTCCTTGTGAGTGTGTTAGTTTTATTTTTGTGCTCCTAGAACTTCCTGCTGACTGTTAGGAAAATCTCCCCCTAATGGTTCACGGAGGCAGTGTGTAAATAATGAACAAGGGCATCTGTTCAAAGCTGTTATTTAATATTTTCCTTATCCTGATTAACTCAATAGGCAGGCATTAGCGCTTCACATTGTTGTTCGTCAAGAGTATTCTTTGACAAAGATTGTCTGAATTCATAATAAAAGTGGTATTTTAGAATGATCTATTGCACTCCTCCTTTTGGAGTGGTAAAATGTCACTTTCTTTATTATGATATTTTGATATTCATATTCTTCATTAAATCTTATTGAATGAATGCCAAGCCCATTTTCCCATGGTAACCTTGACATGAAGGTTGAATGGGCAAAATCATTTCCATATTTACCCACCAAGGACAGATTCAATCTTCATCCTGATTGTCAAACAATATATTTGGCTACATCTGCATGTGTAGGCATCCAGCTCAAAGTAATCTCATACTTAATTGAAGCTGTCACTGGATGAGCATGCATGGCGTTCCACTGTATTATCTGAAACTGTGCTGCATAAGAACCCCTATAATGTGAAGAAGATACATACTGCACTGGATGAGAAGTCTTCTGGGGTTAGTGATGGCAGATGGCATGGCTTTCAGAATAAAGCATCAATATGACCAACTATTCTGCAGGGCCAAGAACCCACTGTAAGTACTGTGATTATAGTGTGACTCTGCATCCTATGAGTGGTTTGATGGAAAATAAAACATACAATAAATAAAAAATATGCTTTTTTTATCAATATTAATTATGAATATGAATTACTCTGCAACTCTTCCAACTATTTACTTTTTTCACAACTGCCACCAGTTTGGCACCAAACCATTTACAACAAGGACATATTGACATAGCAAAGTAATAAAAGTGTGTAAAAATATAAAGGATATTAAATGTGAAATCACTATGTACTGAAACGAGTTACATTTAGGATCATATTTAACAGCTTTGTCATTTCATGTTTTAAAATATAAAATCATCTTATTTTATTATTTTATATATTCTACATGTTATAAAAATTCCATAAAATCATTGAAAGTTTACACAATTCTGGTTGTTTACTGGTAAACTTAGAAAGTTACCAGTAAGATACCCTCCCTTTGCAACTCTAGTCAAAGTGCATTAAGACAGCAGGCAACATTGGTCCGATGGTTGGGACAGCTGGCAGGGCTGAAGTTACTTTGCAGTCGCCTGAGAGATACAGGAGCCAGAGACACATGTTGAGAAGAGGAGAGTTTCTATTGGACAAATTCAGGTAGATCCCTCCCTGTTTCGTTTGCTTCTGTTTAGGAAACGTTTTGCAACAGAATCGGCGTAATGAATACGCCCCTAATCTCTGAAGACTGAGAAGCACATACTTTTAAGTTCAGAGTAACATTTCAAAATGAAAACATTCTGTATAATGATTAAGAACAGACAGACTATGTTATCTGTGAATATGTCCTTTATTAGCAGTTTATTAACAGTCATAAACACCCCTCCTTTAACTGCATTGAAGATCTGCAATAAGTCGGTGTACAGCCTTTCAAAAAAGTGTGTATAATTTCTTTTTTTTTGGGGGGGGGGGGGGGGGTTTAGACAAACCATACGTTTGGGTGAGACGTACCATAACAAGTATTCTACCATAGGTAGCATTTCATGACCTGAAAAGTAACAAGGTGAAGCATTTTTCCCTTATACTTACAGTGACAGGCAAACAGTAAAGTTTAGGCTACACAAACGAGCCATTATCCTGATATATGGTTATACACAGTCGATGACGATTAGTTCTCCCAAATTACAGCATCAGATGTGTGGTAATAAAATGTTCTTCCTCCATATACTCAATGTAATTCACATGCAATGAGAAACCATCACTGCGGCAAAATAAAATAAAAAACTTTACTAAAGACTCAGCAGAGAGAACTTTCAGATATCAAAATCATACTAGCTAGTAGCTACAGTACTAACAAACTGGTTTAATGTAAGACAACAAACCACATGGGACAATGCAGAAATGTTGAGTGTAGTAATTATTAGAAGTCTTTGTGCTTTATATAACAAAACACTTGGTCCATCAAAACACAATTAACAGAAATAATCCAACGCTAAAAAAATTAAAATAGATTTGATTAAGGTTCAGCTTCAATCCTTTGCTTTGAGGTTGGGAGTATAACTGTATGCTCACTATATATGTTAGTTGCTGGCATTGGCTGTTGGACACATCACTAGATATGGAGACACTGTACTTTGTTACATGTACTGAAATCAAATTCACAAAAAAGAATTGTAACAGCCAAGAAAAATGTCAAAAAGTTAAAAACAAGGACTATGTCACTGATCTAAAATGTGCAAGAAAGTCCAATTGAGTTTCATTTAACCCCTTCAGTAGTGCTTTTCCTGCAAGTAATCTTTCATCTTGTTTGGCAAAGGCAACTTCTGGATAAGGTCGATCCGTGTGTACTGACGGATGACAAACCGACAGAGGTACTGCATGGAGCGCACCTGCATAAACCTTGAGATAGGGTTTGTCAGTCTGACAGGATACGTTGCAGTCCCTGGTGTGCGAGATCGTGAATAGCAGAAGGCTCCACTCTCAGAATCTATGATAGAATGTTCAATGAGTTCCACAATTGATATGTGACCCTCCACATCTGGCTGTTCATAGAAACTGAAACTGCCATTGGAGTGTTCGATCCTGGTGTGGAGGGTCTTACCCTGTGAACGAAAACTCAAGCTCAAAAGATAACGATCATCTGAGCTGTCTCGCACCAAGAATGACCCATCTGGCAGGCTGGCAAGTTTTTCCTCAGCTTCCCAACGCGTTATAGGACCCCAGTACCAACCCTGCTTGGCCAGTTTCTTTAGCTCTACTGTAAGGCTGGTTACAATCATGGGCCCACTGTGCTGAACAGCATCATAAACCCTGCCAACGCCAGGGGCTGAATTGGGGTCAAAGTTGAGATGATGCATCACTCTCTCCGCACCATGTGAGTGAGAAGAACCACCATATACTAGGAAACTCCTTCGGATGTGACTGCCAGGTAGAAAAGGGGAGAGAGGAGGCTCTATTCTAGAGTCTTGAATCAAGGCACATTCAGCATCATAGAGCAGTCGATTCACTGATGGGTCCATGAATATGTCTGGTGACATCAGCTTCTCCTGGTCAATGGGCTCTTCCTCTGCACAAGGAGAGAAGCGCTCAGGCTGAGGCACCTCATCCATTGGAGAGGAACTATCCAAGCCTTCTGCAGGGTCAAGTTCATAATCTAAAGGCATTGCATAGTGAATATAGTCCTGAGATGCTAGTCCAACGATTGCAGGTACATTTTCATTGTCAATACCTAGATGCAAATCACCATTCTGAGGCTCAGTGTTCTCGGTTGATTCCTGAAAAGGCCTATCCCTTTGGGGGTCAGGGAATTCTTTCAGAATGCCATTCAGAGATGGGCTTGGGTCTGATGAGTGTATCATAGCTTTCACTTTCCCATCCATCCTAAGGCATGTTTCCTCAGAATTTGCTGCCCTGAGCACCCATGGTGTGGGGCTATAATGGTGACTACTAGATCTTAGATGGCGTTGTGATTTGACGTCATTAAAGAATATGGGTGCTGAGGAGCATGAGAATGTGTCATCTTCACAGGTCACCGATGTGGAACTTTCCTTTATTTTATTTTTCTGTTTTGCAGAAAGCCTCCTTTTCAGTGATCCCATAAGACTCTCACTCTTGGAGCGGTTCTTAGGGCCTTTCTCCTCCTCATGATCAAAGTCGTTACGAACAAGTTCTTTGCTGTAACATTTTCCAAATACTGAATCTGTTGAAAAGTTTGTAGCTGAATTTGGCTGTGGTACAACATCCTTTCCCTCCTCTCTGCTTTTTAGATTGAGTGACTTTCGTATCGTTTTCAGACTAATTTTCTTCATTGTGGAAGTCCCTCAGACATATGGGGAGGCTCATGGATGTATGGATGGCCACATAGGTTGTCCTCCATAAACTGTCATCCCTGAAAAAGATCAAACATATATTTTTCCATTCATTTATTCCACATCAAGGCAATACAAAGACTACAACATAGCCTTGCAGTAGTTGCAATAACATCGAATTGAATACTGCAGTTTTATCAAATCATGACTACCTTTCTACAGTATGAAGCCTGATAGATACAGCCTGCTGCTAGTAAAAGCAAAGCTACCGATAACTTCCCCTTTCAGACTGTGGTAAAAGTGCTTGGAGGCTAACGTTAGCTTGCTAGCCAGCTAAGGCGGTCCACCCAAGAAACAAAGAGGACTAGCTAAGTTAGCTAACTTAGTTGCCTTCTTTACTTCGATTCACTTTTGATATTACCTGTCATCCTCTGTTAAAAACTGTTTTCCTAGGAAACTGTCAAGACCGATGCATTTTCAGTTAGCTGGGAAATCAAATTAGCTAGCTGCTAGCGTCTAGGCACGCTAGCTAACTACTGTAGCAAGCTAACTGGATGTAGAGACCCCACACGAAACAACAAACGAAAAACAATACAAACTATGTCTAACTGGTTAGTTATCTACTTAAATATATTTAAATTGTTGGTATATTCCTTGCAGAACTGCTGTAGCAAGTTGCACATTTGTAGCTAGAACTTTTCATTCTCCCTTCCTGTCGTTGTCCTTTGTTTACATGACGATGGCATTGTGGGAAAATAGGTACTTCTTCGAGTGGGTCACAGAGTTTCTAAACCTAGAGACGCAACATCGCGAGACTTCCGGGAACGCTTGCAAAGGAGACCAAGCAGACCAGTCCGGGGTTTGGGGAAAATATTTGTATAACTAAGATAAACCACAGCCTGTCCTTTCCAATGGGATCAAATGAGTCATAGTGGGCAGAACAAGCAAGGAGGTGGGCAGAGCCAAGCACGAACTAGCGAGATCCTATTGGCGCGTTCAAGCAAATATTTGCATATTTCCGAACTCTATGAAGTACACGTGCAATAACTCAATTCGCCTTTGTACTCCTTCTAAACAACGCAATGTTTTGAAACTTTGACAAAGGGTAAAGTCTACAAAACGTTGTCCACTCTGTTCGAAACAGATTCTACTTTTGGGAACAGAAAACTGTATTGAGATCAAATGTTTCACTAATGAGAAAATAAAATCTTGTTAATCTTCTCCCACTGCCGGCCACTTTGTGCTTCCTCTCACTACCATATTCGGTAGTGGGTGGAAACGCAAAGTGAATGCTTCACATTTATACGTCCAGTGACATATCTGTCTCATTATTCTATCTGTGATTGGGGTTTGAGAAGTCAATGAGAAGTGAAAAATTATTCCACAACCTAGATTCGAGACAATGTCTTAAATTGTTGAACATGTTAATACTCCAACCTCGTGAAAGTTACAAACTGACGGCATTTTAATTTTAATCAAAAACTACTTTTTATGCCTTTGATTTGACCGCATGCACATGCGCAGTTCTGGGCGAGATGAACGTTAGACCCGATAATGTCTTTCTGCGCATGAGTTTAGCTAGCCAACGTCGCCATGACATTTACACTTACAGTTAAGCGAGTGCATACATTTTCATACTGCCCCCCGTAGGAAACGAACCCACAACCCTGGCGTTGCAAGCGCCATGCTCTACCAACTGAGCTACAGGGGACTACATCGCCTACATGACATCGCCTTCAAGCGTGATCGGGGATTTCAATTGGATAAGCAGTTTTAGCCTATCTTAATACTGTACTGTCTTTGATGGCAGGGACGGCCTGTTCAATAGGGCGATATGGGCGACGCACTGCCAAACGGGAAAAGGAAGGGATTTTTTTTCTAATCAATTATATCACGGCAACAGTAGTTATCAGTGTTCACGTCTGATCTGCCAGCCACTAAATGTCAAATCAGGCTAAAGTCGTGCTTCAAATGGCCCCGCCCGTTTTTGGGGCGATTTCAGTCAGGTTGAAAATCGCCCAGAAGTCTCTCATAGCCTGTCATGTAAAATCTATTTTTTTCAAATTTCAAAGCTTTCAATACATTCTCTATGGGTGTCTGTGGGCTTGCACTTACGCGCTTTCGTCATACTAAGACAATAGCGGCTAGCAGCGTCTCTGTTGCGACCTGCAGTGTGGCGTTATTTTATGTTTTTAATTTGTAGACTTAGTTTACAAACATTCTGCCAACCATGGATTTCCAGTGGTGGGTTTTGGACTGATCTTGTTGATCGTGTACATACCCGCTACGAACGGACTAAATAATGAAAACGCTGCTGGCAGCGGAATCCAATACAGCTGGGAGACTTGGCTGGATGACAGAGTCCCGGACAGAGAAGTGGAGCCGGCCGGCTTCACCCTGGTCAGAGCGGACCGCGATCCTGGTAAGAGAGCGACTCTGTACCCCGACATTGAACTGCTTTCTGTGTCATTGCGACCTTACTATCTGCCCCGTGAGTTCCCCCAATTGTTTGTTACCGTTGTGTACTGTTGATAATCACAAGTTTACTGGAGAACTGAGACCAAGTAGAGACTTTGGACAGGGTGGATATGGTATAATAAAGGCAGTTTATTCAGAGGTAAAGATATCTGGAATCGCGTGCACGGACTCGTTCGTCAAACTCTTAGGGAGAAGAGAGCCCCGAAAACATTGTGTGCAGACATTTTATACAATAAATGATGAAGGTTGAATCTAGTAGTTCTGATCTTCTGATTGGTCCTGATGAGTTGGGCGAGGTCCCCTCCACTGTTGCATTGGCTCTGAGTCGGGTTCTCTGTCTTCAAATGTTCAGCCTAAAGAGAGGGGATTTTTGTGTGTGTGTGTGTGTGTGTTTAACAGTGATGATGTGTGTGTGTGTGTGTGTTATCAGTGATGATGTGTGTGTGTGTGTGTGTGTGTGTGTGTCCTCAGAGCAAGAACTCGTGAGTTGGAAGAACTGAGAGACCTATGGCGTGGGTGTTGTCCTTGGCCACCTGCTGACAAGGCTGACAAGATAGGACTCTTTTGTCCATTGTTATAGGATAGGAACAGCATTGATTGAAAACAAACGCCCAACACAAAATGGGTCATGCACAAGATTTTAGTCAGACCAAGCTATAACATTATATATTTACTACGACAGTACATTCAACCAAAAGCTAATATAACAAAGGCATCAGAGATTATTTATAATCTGTCACAGAAACTGGAATCCATCTCCCCAGATCAGTCAATAAATGCTTCTGGTATTGACTTATATGCTGCCCCTGTCTTCATGTTGTTGCTGGACATATCTTTTTTAAAATGTGTGTAGGTCACCTAAATCATCAGAAAAATTGCCCCTCCTGAGAATTTTTTCAGGAGCCGCCACTGTTTGATGGGGTTTTAGGGCTGACTATGTCCAAAAAATGTTATTGTTGTTCTTCTTCTTCTTTGGTATAATGGCGTTCGCACATTTGTTTGTGCATGCCGCCACCTATTGTCCGGTTGTGTGCTCTATCGCGTTACATTTTGTAATACAAAAATGAAAAATGGGAAAAAACCACCACCAACTAACCCTACACATATATACCACCTAAATAAAAATCACCACCCCATTCCACTACTTTGACCCTAATTGATCCTACACCAAGCCAACGTCCTGGGAGGACAGGACTCTTTCGTTCAACACACCTTGTAACTCTTCTGCAGTAAATCCTCGTACACCCAAGTCCTTTTCTGCAGCTGCCCCCACAACATCTATTTTCTGTAATTTACGTTCCATTTCTGCTAAGAAGCCAACCTTACTGATGCACAAATTCGTATCACTCTCTTTTGGCCTAGGCCTAATACTCACCCTTGACCCATCATGCTCTACTCGCTTCACAGCCTCAGCATATGATAGCAAAAATACACTTAAGTATCAAAAGTAAAAGTATAAAAGATTTCAAATTGCTTATATTAAGCAAACCAAATGGCAAAATTGTCTAGTTTTTTATTTTATTTACGGACAGCCAGGAACACAGTCCAACACTTAGACATAATTTACAAACAATGCATGTGTGTTTAGTGAGGCTGCAGTAGGGATGACCAGGGATGTTCTCTTGATAAGTGCATGAATTGGACTATTTTCCTGTCCTGATAAGCATTCAAAATGTAACAAGTAGTTTTGGGTGTCAGGGAAAATCTATGGAGTAAAACATACATTATTTTCTTTAGGAATGTAGTGAAGTAAAAGCAAAATTTGTAAAAAATATAAATAGTAAAGTAGAAATACCCCCCAAAACTACTATAGTATTTTAAAGTATTTTTACTTAAGTACTTTACACCACTGCCCATGCCCTCCTGCATACTTCTCACAGAATCTCCCTCCTAGACACTGCTGCAACCTGACTATAAGCTTGGCATCTGAAACACCTTAGTGGGTTTGGCACAAAAGCTCTCACAGAATAACTGACATATCCTAACATGACTTTATCAGGTAAACACTCTGCTTCAAAACTCAAAAGGACAGACACTGTCCTCTCAGTTTCACCACGCTCGCCACCGGGTCTGCGTCGCACACCAAACGGCGGACGTCACAGACACAGGGAATCTTCAATTTCAGTTGCTCCACCTCAACACTTAACGCCACCCCAGTAATAACTCCTTTCAAAAGCACCCTGCTCCGGAGAAAGAAGCAAGTCACAGGTTTTGTCCCTAGGCGCGTGACGTGAAGCGCCCGATCCCTCTGGACAGAAGAAACACAGAAAATCATAACAAGTCCACTTCGAGCTACATTTACCGATTTAACAGT